GGCAGGTGAGGGGCAGGGGCAGGCAGGCGGGAGGCAGGAGGTGGGGAGGCAGGACGGGCGGGCAGGAGGCAGGGACATTTTCGGGTACCCTATATGCATATATATTTCTCTGAATCAATTTCAAAGGGTATATATATAACATCAAGGGTACGTTATTTATAGAAGCCTTAATATGGCGTTCTTCCCTGATCTTTAAATATATCCTTTTGACAAATCGTATGATTTTTGTCTCTTTTTCGTTAGTAAAAGCAGATGGTGTGTGTGTGTGTGTGTGTGTGTGTGTGTGTGTGTGTGTGTGTGTGTGTGTGTGTGTGTGTGTGTGTGTGTGTGTGTGTGTGTGTGTGTGTGTGTGTGTGTGTGTTGTGTTGAAGTAAAATGTGGGTTTAATTTTTATGGTGTTAGTGGTATGATGTTTTGAGTACAGTACTGTGGTTTAGTACGGTACACACCCCTTCATCCCATCCCACCCCTGTCACACCCCTCTGCCACACCCCTCCGTCACACACCCCCGTCACATCCCTCTGTCACACCCCTCTGTCATCCCATCACACCCACGTCACACCCCTCTGTCACCCCGTCACACCCCGTCACAGCCGTCAACAATTCTCATCATTTCCTCTCCTGTCTAAACTTAGGTTTTCTGTCTCCGTATTAAATTACCTGTTATTTGCCGTGTGTGTGTGTGTGTGTGTGTGTGTGTGTGTGTGTGTGTGTGTGTGTGTGTGTGTGTGTGTGTAAGCATTAGCCGAAGTCTGTTTAAACGGATGATTTTTATATACATATATATACATACATACATACATACATAAGCATATGCATATATTATAACCTCTGTCATGTTCTGTTATGAAGAATAACTCTCTCTCTCGTCCTCTTCTCCTCTTCTATCCACTTCCTCTTCCTCTCATATCTTTCTCCTCCTCCTCCTCCTTCTCCTCTTCCCATAATTTCTTCTTCTTCCTCCTCCTCTCTTCTGCCCTATCTTCCTCCTTCTCTTCTCCTACCTTCCTCCTCCTCCTCCTACCACCCCCCCCTCCAGGATCAGACTCGGCGGGTCGTAACTTATCACAGTGACAACAAGAAGACAATTCCCTTCCTCCCTCCACATAAGTCACAAACATTCTTAACCGCAGCGTTTTTTTACATTAAGATTTTTCAGCGTATTTTTCTCATGATTTTTCAACATATCTAGAGTCTCGGTTAAGTTTGGTAGCCATATTGGATAGTATAGTTTTTTTTAATTTGTTCACTGTATGTAGGATCGTAGTGTACATATTTTCTTAATAGTATTTGAGAAGGTTTGTCCAAGATGGCGACCAAATGGTACTGAGACTGTAGGTGTAATGATGTCCGTTCCCAGTTACGAGATAAAATAAATTGACTTAAGGCCATTTGAGAATTTGACTTTTCTGTTTAGTGGCCAATAACGTCATCTGTCTGTCTGTCTGTCTGTCTGTCTCTTATTTGTGTATGTTTATAGTCTATTTGTCTATTGAAGCTGTTTCTATCTATCTATCTATCTATCTATCTATCTATCTATCTATCTATCTATCTATCAATCTATTTATCTGTCTGTCTGTCTGTCTGTCTGTCTGTCTGTCTATGCCACCATTTTCTCTCTCTCTCTCTCTCTCTCTCTCTCTGTTTAGTTGTTGACTATGACACAATATTCTCAAATTACCTTAACTTAAACTACAACACAAACACCAACGTATAAAAATGGCGTCCAAATTATACCATGACTCGAACGCTACCAAGACACGTTCTTTTAATTCCCAGGATGAAAGAAAACACGAAAAGGATAATTATTCTGCCTTTGTTTTTATAAATTTTAAACTGTGCGACACTACGACCTGGTTATCATACTCTCCCCCTCACCTCTCCCTCACCCCCCCCACCCCTCCCCCCCCCCCCACCTCTCCCCACTCACCTCTCTCTCCCCACCTCTCTCCCCCCACCCTCTCCCCCCACCCCCTCTCCCCACCTCTCTCCCCCACCCTCTCTCTCCCCCCACCCTCTCTCTCCCTCACCTCTCTCCCTCACCTCTCCCCCCCACCTTTCTCCCCACCTCTCTCCCCCCACCTTTCTCCCTCTACACCTCTCTCCCCACCTCTCTCTCCCCACCTCTCTCCCCCTCACCTTTCTCCCCCCACCTCTCCCCCCCCCACCTCTCCCCCACCTTCTCCCTCACCTCCCCCTCACCCCCCCCCTCCCCCCAGCACCCTCTCTCCCCCCCACCCTCCCCCCCACACCCTCCCCCCCCACCCCCACCCCACCCTCCCCCTCACCCTCTCTCCCCCCACCCTCTCCCCCCACCCTCCCCCCACCTCTCCCCCCACCCTCTCCTCACCTTTCTCCCCCACCCTCTCCCCCCCCACCCTCACCCTCCCCCCCCACCTCTCCCCCCCTCACCTCCCCTCACCTCTCTCACACCTCTCCCCCCCCTCACCTCTCTCCCCTCACCTCTCTCCCCCTCACCTCCCCCCTCACCCCCACCTTTCTCCCTCACCTCTCTCCCCTCACCTCTCTCACCTCCCCCTCACCTCCCCCCACCTCTCTCCCCCACCTCTCCCCTCACCTCTCTCCCCTCACACCTTCCCCCCCACCTTCACCTTCCCCCCTCACCTTCCCCCTCACCTCACCTCTCCTCACCTCCTTCACCTCTCCTCACCTCTTTCCCCCACCTCTCTCCCCACCTCTCCCCTCACCTCTCTCCTCTCACCTCTCTCCTCTCACACCTCTCTCCCCCTCACCTCTCCCCTCACCTCTCCCTCACCTCTTTCCCTCACTTCCTCCCTCACCTCTCTCCCTCATCTTCTCTCCCCTCATTCCTCTTCCTCATTTCCTCTCCCCCTCACCTCTCCCCCTCACCTCTCTCCCCCCTTCCTCTACGATGATGACCTCAGGTATTTCAGTGGCCAGAGGGATATCGTCGCATCACATCAAGGCCGTCCTGGGTTTAAAATGAATTCGTGAAAAGGTTCCATGAAGGGGTCAAGGGAAGGTGGGGGGGAGGAGGTGATGAGGGTAAGGGAAGGGAGGAGAAGGGGAGAAGAGAAAGGAGAGGGGAGGTGTTCCAAATTGCGATGCGTTGTCCTCGAATTGCAGTTGTTCTTTTACTGTCTCTCCCTCCTACACACACACACACCTGTACCTGTAGAGTGCCAGGGTGCCAACGCTCCTGAGGCTACACGTTATCTTGAGTACCATATTGCAGCAAGAGTGAGGGGAAGGTGTAGAGGGGTAAGACGATGAAGAGGAGAGGAGGGAAGCAGTGTGGTGTGAGGGGAAGAGACGAGGGGAAGGGAAGGCTGCAGATCCACACAGCCCTCTGATGCTCGGGTGAATCTGCCGGTGCTTCTATACACACACACACACACACACACACACACACACACACACACACACACACACACACGTAACTAGGAATAGCAACATAGAGTATAGCAGTTCTACACCTAACCTAATCTAACCTAATCTAACCTAACCTAACCCCCCCGGTAACGTTAGGTTAGGTTAATCTTGAGGTGAAATAAGCTGGGGTGTCTAATCTTCAGGTAATCCCCATTTAGATAGAGTGGATTACAATGCAACAAGGAACACACTGGGTGATGGTTTTCTGACGTGTGTGTGTGTGTGGTTGGGTGCGGTTCTCTCTCCACCTACACCCAAACAAGGCATTTCCTCCCCCCATCCCACTTCTCCTCCCCCACCCCCTTCTCCTCCTCCCCCCACCCCCCTTCTCCTCCTCCCCCCGCCACACCCCTTTGTCCCCTTAACTACACGCCCTTTGTTTACCAGATGAAGATGTCTAGGTTTGCACAGCCGCAGTTTATGACTTCTCTTAAGGGCGGCGAGGATGAGGTGAGATCGGCGGGTTGGGGAGGGCAGTGTCTGGCCCGGCGAGGTACCACAAGGCGACTCTTCGCTTCTTCCAATAATAAACAGAACTACACTATTCTCGATTTGTGATTGGTTGGTTGTTGAGGGTTATGTAAGAAGTGGAAGCCTTACTGAATGGCTTACTGGGCACTGATCACTGGTTAAGACTATGTTGATTGGTTAATGCCGATAATGGCGAATTGAAGGCTGCTGATTGGTTAATACTGACTATGGGAAATTGAAAACTACTGATTGCTTAATAACGATCACACATTAATAATATTTATAGGGCTATAATTTTTTTTTATACATAACTGATTCTTCAATTATCTTTTTATCTTCACTTATACCTTAAAAATGATATACTATTCATTTTTATTCAGAGGAGAAAGATATGTATTTCTTAGTTGTTAAATATGATAAATTGGATTTGTTTATTTATTCATCATTTATAATTTATTCATTTATTCATCTTATTCATTTTTATCTTTACTTTCTTATCCATTATTTATCATTTATTCATCTTATTCATTTTTATCTTTACTTTCTTATCCATTATTTATCATTTATTCATCTTATTCATTTTTATCTTTACTTTCTTATCCATTATTTATCATTTATTCATCTTATTCATTTTTATCTTTACTTTCTTATTCATTATTAATCATTTATTCATCTTATTCATTTTTATCTTTACTTTCTTATTCATTATTAATCATTTATTCATCTTATTCATTTTTATCGTTACTTTCTTATTCATTATTAATCATTTATTCATCGTATTTGTAATCTGGCTTAAAAACTTATTCACTAAATATCTTATGTCACTTTATCTTCACTTTTATTCATCAGTCATTCTTCTCTTCGTCTCCTTTATTCATTGTTTCTTTATTTTATTTATATTCTATTGTCACTATTTTTGCTCTTAATATTTTCCTACTTATCTCTATACCATTATTCATCATTTATTCATCATTTATACATCTTTGTTTGCATCTTATTCATAATTTATTCATCTTTGTTTACATCTTCATCATTTATTCATCTTTGTTTACATGTTATTCATCGTTGTTTACATCTTTGTTTACATGTTATTCATCATTGTTTACATTTTGCAGGTCTCCCTCATCTCCAAGATCGTCCCGTCACCTGATTGGTTCGTGGGCGTGGACAGCTTCGAGCTTTGTGAGGATGGCAATTGGGTCGACAACGTGAAGATACAGGTGTGTGCTTAATGACTGGTGTGAAGAGCAGGTGTGTGCTTAATGACAGGTGCGAAGAGCAGGTGTGTGCTTAATGACAGGTGTGAAGAGCAGGTGTGTGCTTAATGTGCAGGTGTGAAGATACAGGTGTGTGCTTAATGACAGGTGTGAAGATACAGGTGTGTGCTTAATGACAAGTGTGAAGATACAGGTGTGTGCTTAATGACAGGTGTGAAGAGCAGGTGTGTGTTTAATGACAGGTGTGAAGATACAGCTGTGTACCTAATGTCAGGTGTGAAGAACGGGTGTGTGCTTAATGACAAGTGTGAAGATACAGGTGTGTGCTTAATGACAGGTGTGAAGATACAGGTGTGTGCTTAATGATAGGTGTGAAGAGCAGGTGTGTGCTGAATGACAGGTGTGAGGTGAATGACAAGTGTGTGGCGTGATGCATGGTAGGTGTGTGTTTAATTACAGGTGTGTGGTACATGGTAAGTGTGTGGTGCATGGTAGGTGTGGTGGGCGACAGGTGTGTGGTGCATGGTAGGTGTGGTGGGCGACAGATGTGTGGTGCATGGTAGGTATGTGGTGAATAGCAGATGTGTGGAAATAACAGATGTGTGATGGACGGCAGGTGAGGTGGCGAACAGCAGGTGTGTGGCGAACGGCAGGTGTGTGGTGAACGGCAGGTGTGTGGCGAACGGCAGGTGTGTGGCGAACGGCAGGTATGTTATAAACCTCAGATGTGGTGAACGACAGGTGTGTGGTTTAATAAGAGGCGTGGGTTCAATATGAGCGACCTTGATGTGTCCTGGAGGGAGGGTCAGTCACCTCTCATATTATGTAGGTGACTTAACCCGCCATAGACCACACACCGGCCACCAGATCAACTATTAAAATCACACACACGACACACTGCCTCACCGCTACTGGGTGACCTCGTATGTGGGAGTACAGTACATTCAACCTGAATTATTTTAATACTACTAAAACAAAAAACATAATAGTTTGTTTTAGTAGACTTGTGGTAGAGCATTATAACATCATGCAAGTTTGAATATTTAGGTATTTCCTTACTTCAAGTCTTACCATAACAAAATTTCGTCAGAAATTATGACCAAACTTCTTCAGTGATTCTCAGACCAGGGTCAGGGCCGGGTGCTGCTGTACTGATGGTAGTCCTCTTTGTCTTGTGTTCTCTTGCTGCTGTCATACCTACGGTGGGTGTGGTGTTGGGGCACTGTGGGCTGGGTGTGGTGTTGGGGCACTGTGGGCTGAGTGTGGTGTTGGGGCACTGTGGGCTGGGTGTGGTGTTGGGGCACTGGGCTGGTGTGGTGTTAAAGGGGCAATTGTGGGCTGAGTGTGGCATTGAGCACTGAGCTGAGTGTGGTGTTGGGGCACTGTGGGCTGGGTGTGTGGGGTTGGGGCACTGTGGGGCTGAGTGTGGCATTGTGAACACTGAGCTGAGTGTGGTGTTGGGGGCACTTGTGGGCTGGGTGTGGTGTTGGGGGCACCGTGGCTGGGTGTGGGTGGGTTAGCACTGTGGGCTGGGTGGTGTTGGGGCACTGTGGGCTGAGTGTGGTATTGGAGCACTGAGCTGAGTGTGGTGTTAGCACTGTGGGCTGGGTGTGGTGTTGGGGCACAGGCTGAGGGCATTGGAACACTGAGCTGGTGTGTGGTGTTGGGGCACTGTGGGCTGGTGTGGCATTGGAGCACTGAGCTGAGTGTGGTGTTGGGGCACTGTGGCTGGTGTGTGGTGTTGGGGCACTGTGGGTTGGGTGTGGTGTTGGGGCACTGTGGGCTGAGCAAGTATTGGGAGCACTGAGCTGAGGGGTTGGGGCACCGTGGGGCTGGGTGTGGTGTTGGGGCACTGTGGGCTGAGGCATTGGGAACACCTGGAGCTGGGTGTGGTGTTGGGGGCACTGTGGCTGGTGTGGCATTGGGAGCATTGAGCTGGGTGTAGTGTTGGGGCACTGTGGGCTGGGTGTGGTGTTGGGGCACTGTGGGCTGGGTGTGGTGTCGGGGCACTGTGGGCTGGGTGTGGTGTTGGGGCACTGTGGGCTGGGTGTGGTGTTGGGGCACTGTGGGCTGAGGGTGTATTGGAACACTGGAGCTGAGGTGGTGTTGGGGGCACTGTGGGCTGTGTGTTGGGGCACTAGGGCTGAGGGCATTGGAACATTTGAGTGGGTGGTGTTGGGGCACTGTGGGCTGGGTGGTGTTTGGGCATTGTGGGCTGAGGTGGCACACAATGGCTGAGTGTGGCATTGGGAACACTGAGCTGGGTGTGGTGTTGGGGCACTGTGGGCTGGGTGGCATTGGAACACTGAGCTGGGTGTGGTGTTGGGGCACTGTGGGCTGGGTGTGGTTTGGGCATTGTGGGGCTGGGTGTGGTGTTGGGGCACTGTGGGCTGGGTGTGGTGTTGGGGCACTGTGGGCTGAGTGTGGCATTGGAGCACTGAGCTGAGTGTGGTGTTGGGGCACTGTGGGCTGAGTGTGGTGCTGGGGCAGTGTAGGCTGAGTGTGGTGTTGGGAACTTTCTAGAACGAAGGTGTAATAATCAACAATAATGACCTTATTGGGAAATATAATATTTTTTTACATTCACGAGAATAACTCATCACTTTCCCTATTCTGTGGATACTTCACAGTCAGTATAGTGGCGAGCTACACTGCCACCACCACCACCACGTACACTATCTCAAGAAGTATCTGGAGACCAAGGATGATAGATATTGGGACATGCATTTACTTTGGTACAGTATACGGTTTAACATAAGTAATAAATAATACAATATATACTTATTTCGGCGTAATTAATTATGATGGTCGCTTACCAAATATAGTAGGATCAGTATGCACAGAGCCACGCATACCAACCCTTCTGGAACATTACGAGTTGCATGTAGCATTTCGGAAGTCATCGGACCCGTCCTGGTGGATGGATATTCCATCTAACTGAACCTCTGCTTGGCAAAACTCACTTATACCCTAGACTAACACTCAGTACAGCTCCCTTCCTCAGATTGTTCGAGTATTTCCTGCATCATCTAAATTATAGAACCTTAATCAGCTCAAACATCCAGCTTCAGATACCACCAGTCTCTGATAAGGGGACGCCTCTGTGGGTATACTTGACAACTAGGTGAGTCTGGTCTCTCCGTGCGTTAGTTCTGTTGAAAAGAGAGAGAAAAAACTATATGTTGTATTTTACGATATTCTGTTAATGAGGCGTAGATGTGTGTGTGTGTGTGTAAGATTGACCTCTCCTCGGGGTGAAAGTCATAATGAATACGTCTTGTCTTAACACATCAGTAGCGACGACCTCTCTGACCTTTGACCTCTCGACAGGTTGACCCGCTGGACGCTGGCACGGACAACGGGCTGACCTTCACCTCGCCCAACTGGCCAACGAGCCCGGCCGAGAGGATCTTCCGCATCACGTCCAAGTATCCCGACCATCCGGCCCATTCCTTCTACTACCCCACCTTACACCATCTGCCCAGGATCGCTACCTTCACCATCAGTAAGGTAAGGTCAGGTCACCCACCCATACTACCTAATGAGATAAGGTTAGGTCATCCACCCCTACTACCCAATAAGATATTAGGATTAGGTCACTTGAATGGTCAGTTGTTCGGGTCGAGTAGTAGGGCCTTTCTCACAGAGGCCTTAAGTATTAGGGTTAACAGAAGCTTCAAGTAATAGAGTTAACACAAGGCTTGAGTATTAGCGTCATAACAACATACAGTATGAATGGACGGAACTGCAGCGGGTTGATTGGCAGTCTCGTTTACACCCAATCCATATCGCTCAAACACTTTATCTGTCCAACCTATATTTGAAGCATCCCAGTGTGCTCAAATTAATTATAGTGATCTATCTCCCTTCTTGAAAAACGGTATCGCATTCGCTATCCTCCAGGATTCTGGCACTACATCTGTTTTTAATGATATGTTAAACAAGTTTGCCAAGGGCATACTAAGCTCTTCCTTACATTCCTTTAATACTCTGGCAAATATCTCGTCGGGACCTGTCGACTTATTAAGCTTAGTTTATCTGTTTGTTTACTTACATCGTTACTAGTCACTACTATCTCGCTTAATTTATTTTCTTCACTATCTCTGTATAAACTCGGTGCCTAGGGTATCATGTTTAAATTTTCGGTGGTGAAAACTGTTGAAAAATACCTGTTCAGATTATTGTTCATTTCTCCGTCGTTATCAGTTAGTTCGCCGGTAGCTGACTGTATTGGTCCAATCTTTTCTCGTGTTTTAGTTTGATACATTTAAAAGAATCCCTTGGGGTTTGACTTCGCCTCCCTTGCTACCTTCAGTTCATTATTCCTCTTTGCTTTTCTTATCTCGGTTTTAACTCTACTGGCCAATATTGTATAATAATCTTGGAGGTAAACTTCACCACGACTTATTCTCCTACCTATAGCCTTCCTTTGGCCAATAATATTCTTTAAATAATTATTCATCCATTTGGGGTCATTGTTATTTGATCTGAGTTTTCTGTGTGGTATATTCTGCCAACAGAAGGCTCAAGTATTACTGTATGTTCAACAACGGGAAAAGGGGTAAGAGTGAGTGGTGAGTGCTAGTCGGTGCCAGGGATGTGTGTCACTATGTCGAGTGCCAGGTTGGGTCAAGGCACTCGTACATCCCTCTCGAGTAGCACATCACCAGCTGAGAGATAGACCACGTGGTGACTTCGTGGTGTTATTGTCAAGGTGTCAGAGAAGGTTTGTGGCGTACTTGAGTGACCTCCCTATGTGACCTCCCCCTCTGACCACCTCCTCAGTGCCACCCCTTGTATATTATCATTCCCATAATGCCACCCCTCTCAACGCGACACCTTCCTCCCACAACACTCTCCCTCTCACAACACTCTCCCTCTCACAACACCCCCCCTCTCACAACACTCTCCTACACTCCTCCTCTCTCCCTCTCACAACACTCTCCCACACTCCTCCTCTCTCCCTCTCACAACACTCTCCCACACTCCCTCTCACCTTCCCACGACCTCTCACTGTTAATTACTGAACCATACCCGTCAATTTGTTTTCATCTTTTTTTCATTTATATCGTCTTACATTTGTCAACAGCGCTCAGTGTATAGCTGTCTGTCACATTATCACTATGTCAGGGTTGCATCGTTAACCTCTATGACAAAGGAGTTGCCATGGACGCAGGTTTTACCATTAAGGATAAGGGACACGTCATTCTCAATTCGCTCGTTGACATCAGCTGTATAAAATGAAGGGAGTTAAACGAGTGATTAGTTTTCATTGATTTAAAAATGGAAAGCTCGTTTACCCCTCTGAAGGACTGACGCTGGTGGTAGTGGACTGATGGGCGTGTTAAAGTTGAGTTCTGAAGCAAGTCAACATGGACCATTGAAGTAGCAATAGGGCCAGTATTTGCTCACCAGTTTCATTAATTAATTTCTTATTTCCGTTGAAGAAGGTAAGAGTCATTAGTATGTTGTTGGTTTGGTTTAATTATGTACCTTAGTTGATGATATTATTAATGTAAAGATTAGGGGACTCGAACCTCATTCGTTGGTAGTAGATTAGATTTTAGTAATGATATCAGCAGACATAGACACAGTACAGTCAATCAAGATGCCTGAGGGTTGTTGACCATGGCCTTCCTCTCCAAACATTTGCGGATCGTCTTTACCAATCCTATCAGGTTTTATATCTCTTCAGGGACCACAGCTTTTATTTTCATTCATCCATCACGGGCTCTGCCTTCCTCTGACCCTCCTACCATCTCTGCCTTCCTCTGACCCTCCTACCATCTCTGCCTTCCTCTGACCCTCCTACCATCTCTGCCTTCCCCTGACCCTCCTACCATCTCTGCTTTTTAATAATTTAACCATTACTCTCTCGTTCATAATTATAACGCCAAAGTAACTCATTCTCTATAAAAATTTCAGTATTTTCCAAACGTTACAAAGTTACACAGGAATAACTCCACTACTAAGTCAGCCTCCCTCCACACCCCGGAAAAAGATGTACATTCTCTTACATTTCAAACAGTGATGTCGTCCAAGAGCTCCATGATACAATACATGAGGACAGAACGCAAGGATTCCTCAACTCCTGTTTCCATTTGACAGTTCCTAGTCCTGAGTGCAGTAACACTGCCAACAACGACCCGACAAAACACTGATTCGGTTTCCCATTTTATCTACAAATTGACGTTTCTTCCTCCCCCCACACCCCCTCACCACACTCACGGCCCTCCCACACTCCCTCACCACACTTAGAGCCCTCCTTCAACACACTCAGGGCCCTCCCACTCACCACACTCAGGGCCCTCCCACACCTCACCACACTTAGAGCCCTCCCACACCCTCACCACACTCAGGGCCTCCCACACCCCCCTCACCACACTTCCCACACTCCCTCACACAGAGCCCCTCCCACACTCCTTCAACACACTCAGGGCCCTCCCACACCCTCACCACACTCCCCTCACCACACTTAAGAGCCCTCCCACACTCCCCACACACTCAGGGCCCTCACCACACTCAGGGCCCTCCCACACTCCCTCACCACACTCAGGGCCCTCCCACACTCCCTCACCACACTTAAGAGCCCTCCCACACTCCCTCACCACACTCAGGGCCCTCCCACACTCCCTCACCACACTCAGGGCCCTCCCACACTCCCTCACCACACTCAGGGCCCTCCCACACTCCCTCACCACCCTCGAGTCCTCTCACTAACTTCCCTTCTCGTCCACAGACGAAGGAGTACACACTGAGTGAACACATGGACGCCGCGACTCACACAGCCTACGACGTGGTCAAGCTGGAGGACATCGCCTACAAGCACTTCGGAGACGAGGTAAGGCGTCCTTATGTATGCCTGCGTATTCAGCTCTATGAATGGCTGTCCTGACAATTGACGTACTGACCGGGAGAATGTTATTGGTCAGCTCGCTCTGGTACTGTACAGCTTTTGCATAATCTCTTTCTTTCTGGGGTTTGTAAACCATTTTTATCATCACTCGGAAGATTATCGAGTTGCATCCATCTTTGCAGGAGATTAAAGTGCTTGTATTTTTCTTTGTTGTTATATAATGAATTATGACTATTACTTGTTTTGTCTGTTGAGTTCTCGAAATTTGTTTATCTATTGCATCCATAAAAATTTAATATATTATGGTTCCAATATTGGTTCCATGGCCATTATTATCATTCTTTAAGACTGTCACGTCTGCATTTGTTTTGCCTGTCATTATACCTTATAACTTATTTCTCGGTCTCCCACAGTTACTTGTGAAGACTTGCTGGTGCATCCTTGGTACTTGATTTTTTTTTTATAACTTTCATTTGAACATTACGAGGTGAATATTTAAAATAGTTTTTACCTTTACCATGAGGAAAGAAACAACGTCCAAACATAAGATTTGTTCAGCACAACTCCAGGATGAATTAACTATGGACGATACAAGAGACGAAATTAAGTGAAAACTGTAATACACTAAATAACTGCTTATAACTACAGGGGTGTGAGTGTTGTTATAACTACAGAGGTGTGAGTGTTGTTATAACTACAGAGGTGTGAGTGTTGTTATAACTACAGGGGTGTGAGTGTTGTTATAACTACAGAGGTGTGAGTGTTGTTATAACTACAGAGGTGTGAGTGTTGTTATAACTACAGAGGTGTGAGTTGTTGTTATAACTACAGAGGTGTGAGTGTTGTTATAACTACAGAGGTGTGAGTGTTGTTATAACTACAGGGGTGTGAGTGTTGTTATAACTACAGAGGTGTGAGTGTTGTTATAACTACAGGGTGTGAGTATATATAATCTACAGAGGTGTGAGTGTTGTTATAATCTGAAGAAGAGGTGTGAGTGTTGTTATAACTACAGGGTGTGAGTGTTGTTATAACTACAGAGGTGTGAGTAAGTTGTTATAACTACAGAGGTGTGAGTGTTGTTATAACTACAGAGGTGTGTGAGTGTTGTTATAACTACAGAGGTGTGAGTGTTGTTATAACTACAGAGTGTGAGTGTGTTGTTATAACTACAGAGGTGTGGGAGTGTTGTTATAACTACAGGGTGTGTGAGTGTTGTTATAACTACAGAGGTGTGAGGTTGTTACAACTACAGGGTGTGGAGTGTTGTTATAACTAGCAGGAAGTGGTTGTTATAACTACAGGGGTGTGAGTGTTATAATCACAGAGAGGTGTGAGTGTTGTTATAACTACAGGGGTGTGAGTGTTGTTATAACTACAGAGGTGTGAGTGTTGTTATAACTACAGAGGTGTGAGTGTTGTTATAACTACAGAGGTGTGAGTGTTGTTATAACTACAGAGGTGTGAGTGTTGTTATAGCTACAGAGGTGTGAGTGTTGTTATAACTACAGGGGTGTGAGTGTTGTTATAACTACAGGGGTGTGAGTGTTGTTATAACTACAGAGGTGTGAGTGTTGTTATAACTACAGGGGTGTGAGTGTTGTTATAACTACAGGAGTCTGTGAGAATGTTGTTATAACTACAGGGGTGTGAGTGTTGTTATAACTACAGAGGTGTGAGAATGTTGTTACCAACTACAGGGGTGTAGTGTTGTTATAACTACAGAGGTGTGAGAATGTTGTTACTTACAGAGTGTGAGTGTTGTTGCTTTACAGGGGTGTGTAACTACAGGGGTGTGAGTGTTGTTATAACTACAGAGGTGTGAGTGTTGTTATAACTACAGGGGTGTGAGTGTTGTTATAACTACAGAGGTGTGAGTGTTGTTATAACTACAAAGGTGTGAGTGTTGTTATAACTACAGAGGTGTGAGTGTTGTTATAACTACAGAGGTGTGAGTGTTGTTATAACTACAGAGGTGTGAGTGTTGTTATAACTACAGAGGTGTGAGTGTTGTTATAACTACAGAGGTGTGAGTGTTGTTATAACTACAGAGGTGTGAGTGTTGTTATAACTACAAAGGTGTGAGTGTTGTTATAACTACAAAGGTGTGAGTGTTGTTATAACTACAGAGGTGTGAGTGTTGTTATAACTACAAAGGTGTGAGTGTTGTTATAACTACAGAGGTGTGACCGTCTTGGATCACCTGAAGAAAAAGTAAATTAGTCCTTGACAACATTGTTACGTTTTCAGTAGCTGGTCTGTGGACACTAAGTGTTGAAATTACTTTCCATATGACAAATGTTTTATACATGACAGAAACAATAATAGTGACATTACTGGACTTCACAAAGTCTTTCGCGAAGGTTCAATATCCTCCTAGTAAGCTGACCAGTGTTATTTCTGCTATAATAACACACCAATGGATTTCATCCCTCTTGAGTGACGGCAGATAAAGAACTTTTGTCCTGGACTCTGGTGTGACCAACGTACTATGACAATTTCCCTAAGGAGAGCATTAGGTCCTACCCTAAACGCCATATACAGTGATAACTTACCTGGTGGTGAGTCTTGGGAAATGTAACTCTTTGTGAATGATACATACCTGTTCCAAGAAGGTGATGGAAACCCCATACAGCATCAGTATGGTCCATACAGTCTCCAGAGAAGGTCAGTCACGTGTTGTCGCCGCTTTCATCCAGAAAGGTGTAAAGCTAAAGATATGACAAGGCAGCAGTAGAGAAGGTCCTTGATACGGTGACTGATACTAAATTATCGTTTGAAGATCATATGAATTAAAATGTTAAAGATGGAACAAAGTCCTGACAACCTCTCTCTTAGATGGAATAATGTTAAACGGCTGTACAGTACAAGTGGTTGGAGTGACTTGGCTACATTCAATAGTGCACGGATGGAGTGTGGCATTCCTCCAAGACCAAAACATCCATTTGGAAATATTAAAACATGGGTGATGGTATTGGTACCAAAGCTGAATAACTTGAGTTCTGAAGAACAGCGGAGAAAACTCAGGATTCAGTCATCTAAGATAATTGATGACCTATACGATGATGAAGCGTCCGTACTACTAAAAATATTACTGATGAATGGAACACCTTACTGGACCAGGTTGTCATGTCTCCAAAAACGTGTATATTTTTAACGTGAACTGGGCAGACTAACATGACTACTACAGAGCTTCGTCACTTCAGCGCCGATTAGTGTTATGTACACAGTTAAGGAACTGGATATACAAGCTTGAAGCCTTCGTCAGATTTTACTTAATAAAACCTAGATGAGAATGTGAATGAGGTAAACAAAAATATTTGCAGTGTAATGAAAAAAATTAGTAAGTTGCGAACACTTGCTGCACGTTACAGAGCGAGGAAACCATGAACGTGGTTGACAAAGGAGGAAACCAATAATTATAATTGGTTTTTAGTGAACAAGAGCAAATAACCAAAAAGATTAAAAATTCATTTTCTTCAGTAGGGCAAGAATACGGAGACTCGTGACGGGTCATAAACTGTGGGCGTCACTAAAACTAAATTTAACTTGAAAGAATAACGCGTTTATTCTAAAAGATTCAAATACCTTGTTTAATCTTGATCTCTGGCCAGATGTTAGACAACACCGCCATATATTGTTCGGTTGTGAAATCTAAACTCTAAAGAAAATCTGAACGTATTAAGTTATTAACTAATGTTTGTAACAAATGTAAGAGTCTTCTGAATTTTCCCTTTGTATCTGAAGACGCTCCTACAGTGCCGTTACCCCCAAGAAAGTTTAAACTTCTTTGTGGCTTTTAAACTATTCAATATTTCCTTGCGTTTTGCAGGCGTCCACGGGCAGCGAGTCACGGGGTGCACGCAACGGTGACCGCCAAGATGACAACAGGATTAAGGTAGTCACAGTTGTGTGATGTTATATAACGTCATCACACACACACACGCATACACACACACACACACACACACACACACACACACACACACACACACACACACACACGATTGTTCGAAGTTGAACAGAAATAAAATTAACTTAGATTATAAAACATTGCATAAAATTAAAAAAATGAAGGTCTTTGATATTTTGAGTTAGTCAATGAACCAGATAACTGACAGCTGTATGATGACGAAAGTCTTAATCCAGAACGCAGGAATGGTTCGAGCAGGAATGTCCGTTATGAACCAGGAAGTCAGATATGGTAACCACAAACACTTCGAAAATACACATTATTAGTTGTACAGCACAAAGCCTAGTACAGTACACCTAGTACAGTACACTTAAGCCCTCGGTGATACAAGTACAGATAAATGGTTTCAATACCTTTCTACCTCTCACAGTAGAGATTACGTATATCGTTTATACAGTAGACTTGTTTATTTAAAACTGGAAGCTCGTTAATGGCTTCACATGTTTGAGAGATCCATAAAACCGCTTCACTCACTCATTCTCCACAAGACAACGAAAATATCATAGTTTGCCTTCTGTATCAGTTTTACTCAGTATGATTATATTGTGCCTGATGCTTTACCCGCTTTATACAATGGCTCTGTTTATGGTTTACTGAGACTTTGTTGTAATTCTGTGTGTCTTGCTTCTATTTGCATTATCCTATGACTGTTTTACCATGAAAGAACCTGAAAACTTGGGTGGGATGTTGCTAACCTTAGTTGACCTATTGATTAAATTTTGTCCATTTTTGTCATCCACAGGAGCCCCCAGAGTTCGTAGAAGTTGGTTGATTGTTGGTTAGTATTAAACATTGAAAGGCAAAAATATTATGGCAGCGTTACGCAACAACCAACAACCTTTCAACTTCCTCAAACTGTGTTGGTTACTGAGGACGTCAGGAGTGGGTGGGGGAATTAGTAGGTCAAGGCTCTCTGGCGCATAAGATTATATAGCCTGTAGCGTCAGTGTGTATAATAATGATGGATATTCTTCTTCTCCCTTCACGTGTATAATTGTGTAATGTGGTTCTCTCTTAATCGTCATAATATTGTATTGTTGTTGTATTTATTGTACTGTACTCTAACTCAGGTGTGTAGATTGAAAATTTAAGCATTTTTAGAACTGTGTGATATTAGATTTGTTCCATGTAGACATAGAAGTCTGAGTTTATTACATTTGATTAAGTTGGCCATCGTAGTTTTGTTTAATTTGGGGTTTGAACACTTTCTAAATTGTTTCATTGACTTGAAATTCACTATTTTATTCAAACCAACAACTGTACCATTTATATACATTTGTCATTTTTTTTCAAATTCATCAGATAATGTCTTGCTTTGTCACATTGTTACGCATTCAAAGTAACAAAAATGCAATTATTAGTATATCAATAAATACTTCACTTTCTGATCATAATGAATGTCATAATATCGTTTCGTAAATGATAACTTTAATATGATAATTTTACAAAGAAACAAAAACTTTCTAAAGAATAAAAACGTAGGTAATATTCTAAGCACATTTTTTATTCTGCATAACACTTTTCTATGAGGGTGATTTATGCTTTTCCGTATCCCACAGCTGCAACAAGAGAATGAGTAGTAATAGTAGTTTGTGCTTCTTTTTCAACCTCTGTTCTACACTTGGTATTCTTTTAAAGTGTAGTATTACCCATCACTACCAACTACGATCTCCTCACTACAGAATCGTGTGTCATATGTCACTTCTGTCCGCACCTTCACGCCACGAGTCACGACCAGCCCAACAACTACCACCTCCATCTCCACCACCCCAATGCCTACGACCACCAGCGCCTCTCCCTTCCACGCTCACCATAGGCACCACAGGCCCCAGGGAGATCCTTACCCCACACCCGTCTGGCCTGAGGCGGTGACGGAGCCTGGGGTACACAACTCTCTGGAGAATGCCATCCCTCCACCCAAGACTGCTGTACCGTCATCTAGAAGGGTGAGCTGAAAGTGTCTCTCATTACTGGAGTAGATGATGATGTCACCCCTACTCCCTCGGCAGGAGATAATAAAGGGAGTGCACTGCCCTTTCCTATTCTCCCACACCGAGAGACCTTTCATTGTTGAACTTTAACTCCGTGAACTTCCTACTTTTTTTTTAATGTTTATTATCCTGTGTTCCGGCTTACCTTTTTGTTTTATGTCTCCTCCTCTTTCAGTTAGTGTTCTCTTCTCCTTATATTCTCCTGCACACACACACACACTCTCACACACACACACACACACACTCTCACACACACACACACACACACCACTACTACTTCTACTGCTTTGCTGTCACTCGGAATCGAGTATGACGATCATCCAGCTATGATACAATGATATGAGTTATTACGGATGTCACCTGGGTTGGTGAGTTTTGAGGTGACTAAAGAGGCCTCCACATTCGTTGCACATGTGGAGGGCTGCATCTAGTGCGGGAGGGGCGGTGACAGTGTCTTTCCGGCGCTGGCACTTGTCTGCCTCGGTTTGCAGTTGGGCTAACTCGAAGGTATTGACACCTTTCGTGTGGTGCTCCTCCAAGCGTTATGATGTGGAATAATCAACTCCCAGGTGCGGGGGTCGATTTGGCTTTTTTTCAGGTTTGTCTTAAGACTATCGTTATACCTTTTCAATAGCCCGCCGGCGTTACGTTTACTATTCGTTTGGTGACTGTAAAGTAGCTGCTTTGGCAGTCTACTGTCGTCCATGCTGGTTACATGGCCAGTCCAGCGTAGTTGTTCGTGGATAATAGAAGCCTCGATGCTCCTACAGTTTTTGACAGCAAGAATACTGGCATTTGTTCTCTTGTCTTCCCAGCAAACTCGAAGGATGGGATGTAGACTACGTTGGTGAAATTCAAGTGCCTTGAGGTGCCTCCTGTATGTGACCCATGTCTCACTGCCATATAGCAGGGTGGGGAGGACCACTGCTCAATATACGTGCAGCTTTGTAGATAATTTCAGCTCCCTACAGCTGAAGACACGGGTACAGAGTCTGTCAAAAGCTTGAGATGCACATCTGATCCGATGCTGAATCTCTTCATCAATGTCTGCTGTGGTGGACAGGTGGCAGCCAAGATACCGAAAGTGGGTAACATTAGAGAGGGTAGTACCATTAAGCTAGATGGATGGTGGAGGCGTGTCTGAACCAGGAGCAGGTTGAAAGAGAATCTGAGTCTTACATACATTCACCTCAAGGCCAAAGTGTGCATACGCATCTGCATAGGTGTTCAGGATCTCCTGTAGGTCGTGTTCACCGTGAGCAACAAGAGTGAGGTCGTCTGCATACTGAAGTTCAGTAATGGAAGCTACCGACACCTTAGTTCTTGCCTGGAGTTGTCTTATGTTAAAAAGACCCTTCACCCAGTACTCGATGCCCACCCCGCCGGCTAAATTGGCACTGGCACGAGTAAGGAAGGCAGCCAAGAAAATGGAAAAGAGATTTGGTGCCAGTACACACCCTTGTTTAACCCCTGTTTGGGTGGGGAAGAACTCAGAATGGGGGCCGTTGTGCAGGACACTTCCGTTCATACCATTGTGGAGTTGCCTCACATGGGCAATGAATTTTGGTGAGCAGCCAAAACAGCTGAGGGTCCACCAAAGGGCTTCCCTGTTGATCGAGTCGAAGGCCTTGGTTAGGTCAATGAAAGCCATGTACAGGTCATGACGCTGTTATCTGCATTTTTCCTGTATCTGGCGGGCAGCAAAGATCATGTCAGTGGTGCCATGTGATAGTCTAAATCCACATTGAGATTCTGGGAGAAGTTTTACGCCTCAGGAAGAAGTCTGTTTAGGACGACTCGGACGATAATCTCGCCAGCTACGGAGAGCAGCGAGATCCCACGGTAGTTGCCACAGTCTGACTGATCTCCCTTATTCTTATAATATTGACAATGGTAGCATCTTTAAGAGCTTGGGGGATTTCCTCCTTTTCCCATATATTCTCCAGGAGAGAGTGGAGACGGCTGGTAAGCAGAGGTCCTCCTGCTTTATACACCTCTGCTGGGATTCCATCAGGCCCTGAGGCTTTGTTCATCTGTTTGATGGCAGTAGCTACCTCATCCGGGGATGAAGGGTAGCTGAGGTGGGTCAGCTCTGGATGCTGAGGGACCTGCTTGGTAGTCAGGACATCCACATTTGTGTTTCGATTGAGCAATGAATGGTAGTGCTCTTTCCAGCACTGAAGGAGGCCTTCATCATCTTTAATTATGAAAATACCATCTTGTGCTGATCTGCAATTTTTTGCATTGAAATCGCCAAGGAGCACAACCTTGTCTTCTCTGTGGATAGAGGTTAGCACTCTGTCGAGGTAGGTGTAAAAGGCCACCTTGATGTCATCCTCTGCATTCAGTGTTGGGGCGTATGCACTGATGAAAAAGGCATGACGTGAGTGATTCAGTGGGACTCGAAGTATCATGAGGCACTCGTTGATCCCAATAGGCATTTCAGTTTGCCTCTGTAGGATGCGTTGGCGGATGGCAAAGCCAACTCCATAAATGCGGTTTCTCTCCACAGCAGGCTTACCCTTCCAGAAGAAGGTATAGCCAGACCCCCGTTCTGTGAGTTGGCCCTCATCTGGGAGCCGAGACTCACTAATGGCTGCTATGTCGATGTTATACCTAGCCAGCTCTTTTGCCACAAGGGCAGTTCTTCTTTCAGAACGCTCATTTGTGCCAGTATCCAGTAGGGTCCTGACATTCCATGTAGCAACCATAAGAGGTTGTGTGGTTTGTTTTTGGTTGGAGCTGTGATTTGGGTTGTGTTTTCGACGGCATAAGGATGACCTTACTGGGTGTGGTTGCCCAGTCAGGTTGGGTTTTTAGGCAGGCTATGTTTAGGGCACCTTTTCTAGCCCCCCTCCCCATGTGGGGTGAGCAGAGAGGCTCCTCGAAAGGGCTGCTCAGTGGCACAGACAGGACCGGATTGCACTGCTGCCTAGATCCGAGTGCATAAACGACCATATTATCTGTGCCGCCCATGTGCAAAGTTGTGACTAGAGATTTCCGGCAGTCATCTCTGCCTGTCCCCGTCGCCACTCGTTCATCACCATAGGACTTTTGGGGATATAGGGGTTTTGATGACGATGAGAAGTATGATGATTTGGATGATGGCTGTGCGAGAATTGTTTTATGTGGTGAGGCAGGAGCACAGGCTGCATCCACACTTCTTGACTCTCCCTTTTCCTGATCCAGTGGTGCAAGTGTTGCAACGACTGGGATGCGGGAGAGTTGCAATGGACTGCCGATAGCCCAGTTTATTGGGTTTCGCCTTAGTGGCCTGTCCATCAGGCATTGCCTTCGTGCGCCGGTGTAGTCGTTGGGTTTCCATGGTGGTCACCTCTTCCGTCTATACTGCCGTTGGGGTCTTGTTGGAGCTCTGTAAGCATGTCTGCCTGATGCAGGGCTCCACTTCAGATTTTTCGTTCGGGGTTTACTCCCGTAGCCTTATACCTCCCAAGGTTAATCCGCAAGGCAGCGGGTCAATGGCTGGTAGGCGCCGGAACGTGTCCACATGCCAGTGGGCCTATGCGCCGTCCCTCTGGGGCCCACTGCTACTCCAAGATCCCCTGCTGGTATAGCCTGGGCCCACGAGGCACCCAGTTACCGTGTGTTGCCACAAGGAGGCACAGCAGGTGTCTTGATGGTGAGGAGACTGTGTCCTGGCAGGGGAAGACTTATGCAAGTTGCTTCCCTGTTCGCCATGAGGGCTAGCCAGCGGCGGCAACTGAAAGTGAGGGGGAGCAAGCAATACTTGCGCCTAAACACTAACATAATGCTGCCACATTAGACGCATTTCACCACCCTGTGTGCGACACACACACACACACACACACACACACACACACACACACACAAAATTAAAGCTTTTAGTCCTTTCATATAGCATTACTAATATTTTCTTGGATGTAACATTTTTATTATATGACCACTAATGATACAGGCGAGCCAACATGTTTTATTATTAGGTAAATACAGTGTACTTTTTTTTTTTTGTTACTTGGAAATGTTGGCGGATGATTCAGCGGATTTGTATATATCTAACTATTTTGACTTACACTAAAGAAATTAAACTGTAATAAATAAGTGAGTTTGAGACATGATGTAGGAAGAAAAATATTAATCACCTGAAGATGATCCCTTCAGCTAATTTCACCTATTGATTAAACTCTCGAATGCTGTGAGGGGGAGGTTAGGTTAGGTTAGGTTAGGTTAGGTTAGGTTTGGACTAGGGTGTTTAATCATCAGGTGAAATAGGTTGGGAGGTAATTCCTACCCTGTGGAAATTTTCTCCTGCCTCCTGTTGATGCTAAGAATTTAAACCATTTTATTCACATCAAGTCTTAAGGTGACAGAAATCCTGACTTCCTGAATACTGTATAAACTAAATGGACATGTGAACTGATCAATTAATACCTCACGTGATCACGGTATCATTGAGGTCATGTAGTGTATCCATGGTCTGCAGTACTGTGTGGTAGTGCTCTGTAACCAGCAGAAATAAGTGTTTTAAACTTGACAACTTAAAATACATTAGTTCAGCTTGAAGTTGTGTTGAGTAAGTTAAGTTGCAAAGGTTTCAGTAACACATGACAGCAACGGTAATTACATATTCATGCAGAGTTGTTTATTTACAGTTTTGTCCCATTTTCCTAGATGTTAGCGTACAACCTAACCTAACCTGACCTAACCTAACCTAACCTAACCTAACCTAACCTAACCTAACCTAACCTATTTTAATAGAACCTAACATAGCCTGGCCTAACTTATGTGTTTTACTGCATCAGATATCAGTCATGAGCAACTCTGTAGAGGCAGAGGAGGAGACGGAGGAGGAAGAGACAATACTCGAGGAGGAAGATCAAGCCATACAGATGGGCAGCAAAAAGGATCTAGGGAGCATCACCCAGAACCGTATCCCCTCAGGCAACGCCATGGCCGTCATTGATGATATCGTCAAGAACTACCAGAAGGAGCAGCGTAAAAAGCGGAGGAAGCAGAGGAGGAAACAGAGGAGGGAGGAGAGGAGGAAACGTAGGAATGGCCTCAAGAAGATCCGTGAGTAGATCTACAATTAGCTGTTAACATTCTTCTGACACCCTTTGACAAAATCTACCTACGAGTATAGCGATAAATGTGCCGGTGTGGAAAACTGATTTTTTTACCTTGTTTTTCTTTTTCTTCTTTATTCTAATTCTCTCCAACACATTTTGCCTAAACACCATCTTTAGTATGTTCAGCAACCACATTCACCAATTATGAGCTCATTAATTATTTGTGTTATTCCAAGCTCAGTTACCTCACCGAGACTGGGTGTAGCAGGAGACTAGTGTAAAAGCTGGTAGATAAAATGGCTAGATATCTCGTTACCTACTACAGTGTGCAAAGGTTATGATAGATTTATGCACCGTATATTGGACTTGTTCAGTGTTTGAGGAATGAAGTTGACAAGAAGGTGATATTTTGTCAGGTTAGGGTTGTTGAAGAGAAGGTTATTAGAAGGATATGTTTAGCTTTTCATAATTGCTGACGAAATAATACAGTGATTTTCATGCAGTACTTCCAATGATTTTTTTTCAGGACCTAAATATTGATTAATCTTTACACTATATTGACAAGAAGTACATTTAATACCTTATGAGGAAATTATGGTCGATGTTTTAAAATGGAGTATAAGAGTACACTTGGTATTGGTTCAACGTCTGACAGCTTAATTAACACAACCTTGGTCATTTTCCCTGCAGGTCCACCCCGTGACTGCCGTGTGTCAGAGTGGTCAGAATGGTCTCCCTGCAGCAAAACTTGTGGTATTGGTGAACAGACAAGGACTAGGACCATCCTGAAGCACGCCCGCCGAGGAGGGAAGGTGTGCCCTGTCCTAGATGAGACCACTTGGTGTGGATCTGCCCGAGCCTGCCCTAGGAACTACTTCAACTGGTCCTAAAGTGAAATGAGAGGAGCTGAGTCATACTGATCCTGAGATGGTCTGGGACCGACAAAGGAAGAGATTGGTGTAAATGCCTGGATGCTGCCCAGCCTGATGTTTACTGATAAGAGAACATCTGGCTCATGGAAGTGAAGGATATTTTTATTCATATTTTGCAAAAAGAAGATTTATATATTTGTTTTTAATATTACTGTAACATTAATATTATCATTAGACTTGACACACTTGGACTGGTTATCAAAGGTCGTCCACAATAACTTGCATTTGAGACTACAGTACTTTAGTGAATTATTATGCTATACTGTATTGGCTCAATATTAGTATAGTTTGCCTCGTGATTTTAGAAGACTGAAAACATGTTGGATGTCGAGGTGAGAGGAAGAGAGTAGTGGTATAATATTTACTGACAGGCAAAACATTTTTTGGGTAATTCAAAGATGAGACAAAACAAGAAACGTGTTAATGTAGTTACCAAGATAGTTTTTTATGTAGGTTCAAGTGTTCATAGTGAGAGTAACCATCCATATCAATATAGATATTGTATAAAGTGTATACAGGCTGTAGGTCATTGAGTGTCAAGTTCCCTGTGTACTGAGAAAGTTGTCTTGTGTTGATCAGGGTGTATGAGAGACGCTCTAGAAATATAACACAAAACTAAATCACTTGTTAAAAGGTTTGTTGCATAGCTCAAGTTATTCACTGGTACACTTTGGGCTGCCCGTGCCCTACACTTAACACACTGGTACACTTTGGGCTGCCCTTTGCCCGACACTTAACACAAAAGTTTTCTTGTTTCTTCATTAACATGGTTATTATTTGTCAACATTGAAGCTTAAAATTTCGTATACAAAATCACAAAACATCATCGTGAATACAACCCCAATCATCACTCGGCTATCTGTCCAAACGTCCTCCCTAATTACTGTACTGTACTGTGTTCACGTTTTTTTCTTCTTGTAAGTCTCAAAACCACCACCTCCACCCAGTCAAACATTATTTTTTTTAAATCAGTTTCTCACTCAGAATATTTTTTGCGTGGACCAAAACCACTCATGTACTGATCAGTCTTTATTTCATCCTCAAGTCTTATTGGAGATATTCCCTCACAGTTCAGTTATGTCTGGAGGTTATCTTTTTGTACTCACAATGTTATGCCATTTCTCATCATTATCCAATAAACTATTATGATAAAGAAGGATATACTGTAGCTGTCTCATAGTGTTCTATTATTTTTTGGATGAACTAGTCTCTTGCACGCTAACGATCAACACTATAAGATTCCATTACTGATAAGGCTGATAAAATAGACAGTCTTACATTTAGTGGTTCTTGACCTTTCCAACATGATAACTATGTACCGGGAACCTTGACCTTTTCAACATGATAACTAATTGCCGGGAACTAATTTCAGTGAACCATCAGCTCTTGGCTATATCAGGGCTACTGGTCGGGACTTGGTTTATACCACGGCAGAAACTCATGTCTGCCCATATACTGATATTCAGTCTTGCTGCACACAGTAACGTTGCAATAAAATATCAGCAGCAACCATGGTTTTAAAAGACGAGGTGTATGGCGTCCTCAGAATGTTTTGTTAGGAATCATTAGGTATAATGATAGACAATAATAAAGATCTTATTAATGTATTCAGTGTAGTCCCTTTTAGCACGATTTTTGGAGATTGTAAACCATTGTGGGAGTCTCCGCTTACCCGTGCCAACTTCGATGATGATGACGATGATAAACGCTCTGCATATTGTGTATATGTTGCTTCTGTCTTCACCCTGCCAGATGAGGGAGACCGGGACGTGCTCGAGGCAGGTCATGTGTTGTTGTCTCTCGTTAGTCGACAACTCCCTCATTCATCTGAACTTGCCAGTCGAGATTTAGACTGAAGTAAATAATAATTCAAATATGATTTCATGATGGATCAAAGAGGATCCTCTTATGGGCCAAATAGGAACTTATAATAATGTGTTTGTCTCTTATTTCCTGCTGACAAATCGTGAGAGCTGAACGAGTCAGCTGCAGGTTACCTGAATTATCTTCATGAGTACAGGGTTTAAAAAAGAAAGTACTTTTTCCTCCTCGAGTACGTCCTAAGGAAATCTGGCAATAATGTAGTAGTATGCTTAGCCTACTGGTGTAGTACTAGCAGGGGCGAGACCAACGATGTCGGGGTCGTGAGTCCATCTCCACCACGTCAAAGTTTATAGTGTTTGGAAGACTAAAGAATAACGGAAGATGATGAAGCTCGACTCACCTTCGTTGTATACTAAAGACTATATAGTCTTTGGTTGTATACCGTCGCCTAAATCGTTATGTAACTCTTCTTCGGTGTAACTTAGGGGGATCATTTAATCGCAGACTGAAGTTCATGCTTTTTGCTTAATTATTTTCATTTTCTATGATGTGAACTAATAAATCCATTTACAAGGGCTACTGTTATAATTATTAGAGTGTCAAGCTGTAAAGGTACGATAGCATACAAATGGATGAAATTCCATATACATATAACATATGTATTGCAATCTGAATTTTGGATTTTCCCCCGTGGCAAACAATGTCTTTTCACAGACATAAAATTTTCACAAAATCCATATTGTAAATAATTTGTATATATAGATATTGAATTATGAGATGAATTAACTGGATCCCACTATTGTATGTAACTTGTGTGTGCTGAGGCATCAAGCAGGAGTCTGTTAGTGGCCTGTGTTCTGTGACGATTGTCTTGGAGTTGGGTAGATTTTCCATTTTCTTTTATCTTTACTCCTTCCCCACTCTTGTGCGGGGTGGATCAAGGAGTATAGAAACCTCAAGAAACGGAGAGGAAATGACAAGGAAGAGCGGAACAGGACAGGTGTCTCCCCCTCTCTCCCCTGATATTTTCTACCATTTCTATACCAGTTGGGGCATAATATATTGTACTAGTTAAGCAGGTAATTTCCAGAACCATTACCAAAGTGACCATTTGACCTTGATTTATAGGTATTTTATACAGTGTGTGATGATTTTGTGGAGGTTATCTGTAAACCCCAACACGAGTAATAATCATAGTGACCTAACTCAGAGGTTCAAAGAGAGAGAGAGAGGATTGGTGTTAATCGCAGTTTCCAGTTATAAATACTGTAGTCAATTCTCTCTTTCATAGACATCTCCAATCCACCCCAAGATATTAAGGGGCTCGTTCAAGAGTTTAAGTTCACATGATAATGGTTTTTTAGTGGATAATGACTAGGAGATATTAAGAGTGTTTCTATGGGTTAAAAATTCAGTGTTACGCCAACCTGAACCTTTTAAGTTTGGGGGTGACTATACTGGTTATTATGACACTTCTTTGGGCCTCATAGTCACACGATAAACGTCTCCTGTATACACACACGAGCGCTCCAAGATCAGCATCGTGAGAACTCTAAAGTCCTGCATTGGCCCTTTAAGGAGTGTGTAGGATTGTGTGGATAAGTGAGAGTGGTTAGCATGAGTGAGGAGTATCATGTAGTACAGTATACAGTATATATTTTAGGGTTAGCAGTGTCGGTATCTTTACCAATCAATCAAACTAAAAAAAAAATGTTGGTTTATACTCCTTATTCCTTATGGCAAAAATCGTTTTATGACAGAGGTACTATACGAAATTCACCTTTCAAGCACATTTGAGAACTCCACTGCCATGTTTATTCCTAGACATTATGAATTACACCTAAAGGATTTTGATAAGATAAATAAACAGGATGAAATCAAGTTTTCATACAATATATGTACGTTTTTTTATTTGAGATTAGTGTAGTATGTGCTACATCCAATTTTTCATATCAAGAGTATATCTTATGGTATAAAGGCTGCTAAAGTTGCATTATTTGTTACTGAGATTCACTAATGTTTTGATACAATGTTGAATAAATAGGCAAGCAGGCCAATGGTAGAAAAAACACCACGATTAAGACCGCTGAACCCCTATATTTTTTGTTTAAACAGATGACTGGAATCTTACGTAACCTAACCTCAAGATCCTAGATTAGGTAAGGTTGTTGATTCATGTTGCTTGAAAAATACATGGTTCGCTGTTCTGTTCGTGATAATATTTTTTTTTAAATTAACTATTTTGCGAATGAATAAAATTGGAGTGAATGTTACAAGTGAGGCGGTGATTCACGGAGCGTCTCGGTTACAGGAAAACCACACACACACACACACACACACACACACACACACACACATTATAACATTATTTTTATATCAACAGCGTGAAGTGTAATCATGGTCTAACAAGGTACACACAAGTTGATGTTTTCTTTCACTTGAGACACAGGCGACTGAAAGCTGTATATTAAGTCACAATTTCTGTGTTGTTTATAATGTGGTAATGGCTTTGGTGTGCGTGTACGGCTGGATAACTCTCTTACAGATGTCATATCGCAATATACATGTAAGATCTAATAAAATTGATGTTGTGTACAATGGTATTATTATTATTATTATTCCTTGACAGTTCCATTTATTCAGTTTCGGGTTACCTGAAAGCTAGCCTCCTCATCCCTGATTTTATTTCACCTGATGATTAAATGAATCCAGGAAAAAAGTCACAAAAAAAGGCACGGAAAAAACCTAACTTAACCTTACCTACGTGCAATGCCATCATATATATATACTGTGTATATATATATATATATATATATATATATATATATATATATATATATATATATATATATATATATATATATATATATATATATATATATATATATATATATACTGTATATGCAAGTAAATCACTGTGGGTGCGCGTGATCCAGGTATATGCTGATAACCACAAGGAAAGAAGAAAACACGAAGTTCCCAAGCGCTTTCATGTAATTCACATCTTCAGGGGTGAGTACAGACTAAGGAGAAGTACAAAACAAAGTACTGTATATATATACAGAGAAGGGTGAGATCAAGTCCACAATGGTCGGGTATTAGGTAATTTTTTTTTTTATTATTATTTATTGGGCACTCCCCTACATCCTTGTGTAAGGTGAAGCACAGAAGCGTTTACAGCGCCCAACAGGGAAGCATGCTAAGTTCATGCTTGCCTTTATGTCTCATGAGTTTAGGGCGTAGAAGCCTGAAGAGTCAATGGTTAATGTCATCAAGTTATTGGAAGCTCCAACAACTTGTCCCTGAATACGAATTCGCAACTTTCGATTTAAACCAGGTACCTACTTTACTGCTAGGTGAACAGGGACTAATGGGGGCTAGGAAGTATGTCCAAACAACTTCCACCGGCCCGGGAATCGAACCCGTGACATCTCGCTTGCGAAGGCAAGAGCGGTACCACTCTACCACCAGCACCCCCCTATTAGGTAATGACTCTACTAATCTTTAAAAAGCACCACAGTCGGTAGTCAGGTCAGAGGGTAAGCTGACCCATCCTTCTCACCTGGTTACAAATCTTCTTAATTACGAAATTATCCAGTTTGTACATACCATTACTCAAATTCATGTTGACTGATTCAGTATGCTTAATGAGACTAGATTCTATAATGTTCCTACTTTAGAATCTAGTTTGAGTACTGTGGGGTATGGGATATTTGGTTCACACTCAGGATGGAATGGAGAAAGGAAACTTACAATGTGCTCTCTATATACATGTTGTATTGGATGTACAATGCAGCTTGGTGCTGGGAAGGCAGCATGGTTACAAGCGTGATGTAGAGAGAGCTGGTTGGTGAGGACGCTCAGAGAAGGACAGCTTGTGGGTCACCATGCTCGCCGGCGGGAGCGAGGACCACCAGGCAGGCGGAGGAGGAGCGAGGGCCGCCAGGCAGCGGCGGAGGATCAGGTGTTGCTGGCTGGTCAACTGTCAACTGTTTAGTTGGCCCATACCAACCCCCTCCCCTGAACCCTCCTCCCCACCGGAATATCAACAAGTTCTCGCCAGAAGTTACAATTTCATTTAGGAAAGGAACGGAACCAGTGTTAAACCGACGTGAACAGTGGTGAACAGTGCTTAAGTCAGTGAGAACAACTCAACAGTAACAGTCGCACCCAAGTTAACCTTCACACAGTGAGGTCCCAGGTACCCAGTGATAACGGCCCCCCGCGAGACCCAACAACAACCACCGATGTGTTAATCCGTCTATGATAGGAAGGCCTGGGACCAAACCTCACTCATATAACACCATCTGTGAGGAAATTACTACACCACATGTCCCTCATAACACCATATGTGAGGGAATTACTACACCACGTCAAGTCCCTCATCACACCATCTGTGAGGGAATTACCTCACCACGTGAGGTCCCTCATTACACCTTCTGTGAGGGAATTACTACACCACGTCAGGCCCCTCATAACACCATCTGTGAGGGAATTACTACACCACGTGATGCCCCTCATAACACCATCTGTGAGGGAGTTACTACACCACGTGAGGCCCCTCATAACACCATCTGTGAGGTAATTACTACACCACGTGAGGTCCCTCATAACACCATCTGTGAGGTAATTACTACACCACGTGAGGTCCCTCATAACACCATCTGTGAGGGAATTACTACACCACGTGAGGCCCCTCATAACACCATCAGCGAGGGAATTACTACACCACGCCAGGTCCCTCATAACACCATCTGAGGGAACTACTACACCACGTGAGTTCCTCCTAACACCATCTGGGAGGGAGTTACTACACTACGAGTTTGCTGTTCAACACCTACATTAATCTGTATGTTCAGTTGTTCACTGTATGTTCCTTTCTCTAATGAAGGCTTTTGTTAAACCACCAATGTATGTAATAAGTCATTTATGTCCAATGTATATTTTCAGCCTTCGGGCTGCAGAATTTTTTCAATAAACCGTTAATTATTATTATTATTATTATTTAAATAGCGGGGGTAGGCGTGGCTTAGTGATGTATGGCGGCGCTGGTTGACCCAGACCACGAGGCATACACTGGGGAATTGGTGGGGTCGGCTACTCAGCGACAAACAGCGTTTGTAGGGGAGAAATCCACTACAGTACCTTTGTATTGCCACCCCAGATATGAGAGCAATATTCCAAGTCAGGACGAATGAATCCCTTACAACAGCCACAGTTTAACTTGGTTCATCTTAAGCCTTAATATATTTTTTAATATTAGAATATAAACATCTACATGATTAATTATGTATATCACCACCTGACCTGATGCCGCCACGGTCGCCCACTCCCTTACCTGGACCACGTGTGTTAATCTAGGATAATTGACCTTTGACCCCATTTATCAAATCAAGGGAAGAAAGTGAAAGCAGAAAAGCGTTAATAACAGATTACATAACACCATACAGTGTTGTCCAGGAAAATAATGGACGCCGACGTTTTATTTTACAGGTCATCGACTCACAACGGGCCTGTAAAAAGTCTATACCCAAATAACCTCTTTGTTTATCAGTTTATGTATTATGTATTGGGATTTGGGACTGATACGTTTTATTATTTTAGTTTTTGCTGCGTAAGAATACCCAAATGCTGCCATAGTATCGTTATGTCTGGTTTTAATAGCCGGGAGCTAATTAAGGCTGATTGTCAGGCAAATTCTACCTTATTATTCGCTCTCTGTCTGAACAACCAAAAATTACGATAAATTAAGAAAAAAGTCGCAAATATTTACGACCATTAGCAGTTGTTTGTGTACGATAACGACTCGCTGTAAACGTTCTTTGTTGTAAACATAAGCAAATTATCTATTAAGCTTTATAGTGTTTCTTATGCCATTTACATACACTAACAGCATATTAACATACAATTAAATTAAAAACACCTCCCACCAGGAGTTTAGGTGCCAAGTACTGTATTTCTCCCGGTAGCCGCCACTTGACCACACACTGACCACGTGTCAACAACACACGGTTCACACCCCGCTTAGGGTCGCCAGTTTCACAAGAGCAGTCCGAGGGAGTGTGCGTACCAAGTGATCAGTCTCTAATACACGTTCTTTTTAGTGAGTTTCTGAGTTTACCAGAATGAAACTGCAAAGTTAGTGAAACTTCGTTGGATTAGGTGTGAAATATAAACAGGAAGACAAGAAACATAGCATTGGGGTGAAATAGTGGTCAACATGAGGAACTGTCCAGGTGTCGTGAACGTGAAGTGTTTGATATTGCTTCCTGTAGTGGGTTACATATTTACCTTTCCGACTCCTAAGCAATCAAAGTTCGTAGCTGTTGACTATTATGGCCAGGACTCCAGCAAGACAGAGAACGGCGAAGGGAAGTATGTCAGTGATTCGCAGGTTAATGAGATGGAAAGCAACAGGCAATTCCCTTCAAGTACACTGCCTTTCATATCCGATATGATTGAGCAAGAATACCACAACGTCACTGGTGTTGGTCTGTCCCAGGGCCTTCATGCTCTGGGAGACGCCATTTTAAAGGAAACTCATCCCAGTGCAGTGAGTTCCGAGGCCAATATCGATGGTTCCTCTCTCACTAACATTATCAACAGCTTGGGGAATCTTTTGGGGGGTCTAGCGCGCTTAGGAGACTTGCCGATGAATTTGAGTGATTCATCAGATGTGAGCAAAAATCGAACATTGGTAAACATAAACCATACATCAGAGGAGGTGAGTGGAGATGAGGATGGCATGGGGGAGAAAAATAGAAAAAGTGATGAAGATGATGATCAGCCACGTGATCAGAAGGCTGAGCAAGGGGACTATGAAGCTGTAGGTAAGTTAAACAAAGCCTTGGACAAGTTGGGAAACATTTTTCCCTGTATTATTATCGTTTCGGTCTTGCAGCGAATTTAGATTAGGTTGAAATTATGTTTTTCCGATGGTTTTTGTTGTTATGAACCAGTCATAACCTTGTTCCATGCATGACCGAAACGGTGATTTACCTGTTACCCAACAAAAACAGTTTGAGTACTACCAAATACTACCCACAATCTTCCTGGCGTTACCAGGGTAATTGAAACTACCACAACAATGGAATCATGATAATTATGGAGGTTTAACTAGCATCCACAGCTTATTTCACATGATTAAACGCCGTATCTTAACCATCCGAGGTAACGTTAGGGCGTTTAATCATCTGGTGAAATAAGCCGGGGTGCTAATCTTCAGGTAATTCCAACAATGTGTAAAGGGCAAAACACAAGTAGTTTAATCCAACCTCAAATATACTGAAACTAATTTCTTAACACCCTCAGCATGTGGTTATATCAATACGTTCCCAACGGTCCGACTAATTACCCAAATGTACCCAAATGTAGTTGCAATGAAGTCAAATAATGGTCCTACATGAATAAATCGGACTGCCAATCACTTCTCGACTAGTCACCGATAGAACACAGTGGGTCAGCGTAGATGTTAAATCTGAGTGGAGCTGTGTAACCAGTGGGGTTTCCCAGGGGTCATTACTGGGCCCACTCTTGCTCATAATCTACATAAACGATCTAGATACAGTACTGGGATCAGCAGTGGCATAAGCAAGTTTGCGGATGACACCAAAATAGGGCGGCAGATTTTTTCAGGGCAGGATGCAAATGCACTACAGGAAGATTTAAATAAACTGCAGGAGTGGTCAGAAAAATGGCAAATGAAATTCAACACCAGCAAGTGCAGCTGTCTTAATATTGGAAGAACAAATACTGTCAATGTATACAGCCTTAACAACATCAACCTAGAGAAGTCGACTTGTGAAAGAGACTTTGGGGTACTTGTAAGCCCGGACCTACGGCCTAGAAAATAGTGCGTTAATGTTCGAAATAAGGCAAACAGAGTATTAGGTTTTATATCTAGGAGTGAAAGTAATAAGAGTGCAGATGTCTCATTGCAACTATATCTTGCTCTAGTCAGGCTGCACCTCGATTATGTTGTTCAGTTCTGGTGCCCTTATTATAGAATGGATATCAATTCACTGGAGTCGGTGCAGTGAAGAATGACGAAAATGATTCCGGGACTTAGAAACCTTCCATATCAGGATAGGTTAAAGAAACTAAACTTGCATTTCCTAGAAAGACGAAGAGTGCGGGGAGATATGATAGAAGTATTTAAGTGGGTGAAAGGAATCAATAAAGGGGATATAGATAAAGTTCTTATAATATCCGAGCGGGATAGGACTCGGAGCAATGGATTTAAGTTGGATAAGTTTAGGTTTAGGAGGGAGATAGGAAGGAACAGGTTCACAAATAGGGTGGTGGACGAGTGGAACAAGCTTAGCAACTTTGTAGTAAGTGCTGGAAAGTTTCAAAAGGAGGCTGGATAGATTCATGGATGATAGAGAGTGGTAGTAACTCTCGACAGGAGCTGCCATGCACAGGCCAACCAGCCTATTGCAGACTCCTTATGTTCTTAAGCCTTGGATTTCTGGGTTTTCTTCTTAACTTTCTCGACCGCCGGATGGTTCATGTGTAGGGGGTCTTCTTGTATTCCTAGAGGCACTGGGTTTGGCTTTGGGTATATATTTCTCGATGAAATGGTTCACTTTACTTGCTATGATATTCAGCGTAATGTCTGCGTTCTGATGCCTTTGTAATTTCACTTGTAATATTTGCACCTTGGCCTGGTTTTGTCGTGAACTAAGTAACATTTAAATCTGAAGGACAACATTACATGGTGGCTGGTGCCAACTGGGGCTAGATGTTCCAGCTTGGCCACCATACCCTCCTCGTTTGTTATGATGAGATCCAGTGGAGTGGCTTGGGTGTTTGCTCTCTGTAATGAAGCGGTTCTTTAACATGTTGGAACAGAAAATTATCTCAGAGTTCCTACAAAATGAGTAGTGGGGTTCTTAAGTCATTTGGTGTGAACTCATTTTTCCAGTCGATGTCGCCATAGTTAGAGTCCCCCATGGTAAGTAGGTGGCTAGGGTTGAGCATCGCTGCATTGTCTATTAAAGCTCTTAAGTTCCTTTGGTTGGGTAAACTACAGTTTGGGGATCTGTAGATACTTCAGACAACAAGTAAGTCTCTCCCTTTTAATTTAATTTTACACCACTTGGATTCTTCAAAAACATCCTCTCCCTATGCCCTCGCCTGGCTGGCTCTTGAGGTCTTGCCTAGCATAGATAACCACACCCCTCTTGCAAGTTTCTTGAGAAAGGTTCGTAAATGAGTCATATCCTGCAATAATGAACTCCCATTCCTCTTGGTCGATTCTCCTGTTCTTGTACAACAGCTCTACAACTCCTACACGATCGGATTGGTGTCCCTTCAGTGGTGTTTCAAACTCCTTTCTCTTGTCAAGGTACATGTCAGTACCTGCATTAGTGTACATGACATTAAAGCCGGAATTTGTTCTCGGTAACATCTCTGCTCTTGGTAGTAACTCTAGCCTTCCTCCATTCTCAGTGTATTTACTAAATACACTGTATTTTGCAGGGTGTGGTTAGAAATGACACTGTTTACTCGGCGCTCACCTCCTCCCGGGTGGGAGGTAAAGCAGGTGGAGAGTGTACCCGCTGCCCCCTGGCTCTGTGCTGCCGCTCTTGCTTCCACTACCCTCCCCCTGGATATAACCCATGTACACCTGTGCTTGTTCCTCCTTGACTCCTCCCTCCTCTGCTTCAAACCCTGTAGGAGCTTTTTGTGCTGTTCCCTCTGCATTACCGAGCGACCTGGGTGAATGAATAAGTCACCTGGTCCCGATGAGATATTTGCCAGAGTATTAAAGGAATGTAAGGAAGAGCTTAGTATGCCCTTAGCAAAGTTGTTTAACATGTCATTAAAAACAGGTGTAGTACCAGAATCCTGGAGGATAGCGAATGTAATACCGATTTTCAAGAAGGGGGATAGATCACTATCCTCTAACTACCCCAATCAGTCTAACATCAATAGTAGGCAAATTACTGGAAGCAATCATTTCAAACTCTATTCGAAATCACCTGGAGAAGCACCGATTGATTCCCAGCATGGCTGGCGGACGTTCTTGCCTAACTAATCTTTTTTTTTTCATCAGCGAATCGGGGACGAGGGGCACAATTATGATGTGGTATATCTCGACTTTAGCAAAGCCTTCGACAGAGTCCCCCACGAAAGACTAATTAGAAAGGTAGAAGCTCATGGCATCAAAGGTGACATCCTTAAATGGATTAGGGCGTGGTTACAGGACAGGAAACAGCGAGTGAGCATTAACAGCACTAAATCCCATTGGAGCAACATCACAAGTGGAGTTCCCCAAGGCTCTGTACTTGGACCATTATTATTTATTATATACATAAACGACATAGATATCAGCATTGACAGCAACATAAGTAAATTTGCTGATGACACTAAAATAGGACGTATTATCAAATCTGACGAGGACTTGGCAAAACTACAGGAAGATCTAAACAAATTTTTTGAATGGTCTGAAAAATGTCAGATGAAATTCAACGTCGACAAATGTAAAGTACTCAGTATAGGAGATGTAAACAGGGAAACCAGATACCAGATGAACAACGATGCCATAGAGAAATCCGACTGCGAGAGAGATTTAGGAGTAATGATAAGTAGGAACCTTAAGCCAAGTAAACAATGTGTTTTTGCTCGTAACAAGGCTAATAAAGTACTTGGGTTCATACAAAGGAGTGTTAGTTACAAGACTAGCGAGGTCATCCTAAAACTGTATCTTGCTCTTGTGAGACCACACCTGGATTACGCAGTTCAGTTCTGGTCACCCGTATTACAGAATGGATATAGAATCCTTGGAAAGAATTCAGAGGAGAATGACAAGACTAATCCCGGACATTAGGAACCTTGAGTACAGAGACAGGTTAAAGCATCTTAATTTGCACTCCCTTGAGAGACGTAGAGCGAGGGGCGACATGATCGAGGTGTATGCTTAAGAACCGTTTGGTATGATTGGTTGCGCTCATGTCCACAAAAATTGTAAAATTACACCATATCACGGTAAGTTCTTTCTGTTTAATATACTGGGGGGGGGGTGAAGCCCCTGGCTAGGAAGCTAGGTAAGGTTAGGTTGGTGAGGCCTTCTAACAACGCTTATGCTGCTTGTTTTTCATATCGACCATGGTTAGGTTAGCTTTAATTTAGAAATAACCATTTTTTAACACATTTGCACAAACTACGACTGTGTCCACTATAAATCACAGTGAAATTGCGGCATTTTTATAAAAAAAATTCTTTGAAAAATCAGCCACGGGTCAGTCATTAATAAATACCACTTATTCTATAGCATTTCTGTTGTAAACTTATATTTTTGAAGTATTTTAACCGATATAAGCCCCCCCCCCCTCCATTAGCAACCAAAGTGGTTGTTTAGATTGCCCAGGGCTTTGAAGTAGAGGGAAAATGTGGGATTCAAATACTAAAAAAATGTCAAACAAACTTTTGAAAACCTAACCTTACCTAACCTAACCTGTCCTAACCTATAAAATATCTAAAACTCTAAAAAGTTTACCTTACACATGTTTTCAGTGTTTCATATGTGATGGTTGAACTTTTGGTGTACAGATGAGGCAATACCCATAAAAATGAAAGCAATTTTTTAAATTGTTACAAATTAGGAAAGGTTGTTTGGACACCAAATTCTGGAACAAGCTGGCAATATCATCCATATATACCTAGGGCACAGGATTCGGGGAAGTGTCTGAGCATGGATCGAAGACTTTCTGCATGATTGCAAGCAGTGTGTGTGGTGATGAATGGTATAAAATCGTCATGTGTACCTGTGGCAAGCAGGGTACCACAGGGCAGTGTATTGGGCCCATTGTTGTTTTCTTGCTTCATAAATAATATGCCAGAAGCTATACACTCCTCCATACAAATGTTTGCAGATGATGCCAAGTTATTTAGGGATAGTAAGAACCAAATACACTGTGAAGAGCAACAGAAAACTCTATATTTTGAAATATCAAAATACTTTACTGAAGAGTGTAGTAAATATAAAAAAATATTGCAAAACATTATACAGTAGGGTCGAGATATATTGTGAGATAGCTTGTGACATCCTATATTTTCTTATATGTTACAGGTTGTGGCATCAATAGTGTGCAGGCAAGGATCCTGGGTGGTCATATTACAGGGGTAAGAGAGTGGCCATGGCAGGTAGCTCTGATCCATGCCCCATCTGGGAAAGTTTTCTGTGGAGCTTCCCTCCTCAACAAACGTTTCCTTCTTACTGCTGCTCACTGTGCTGCAGTGTAAGTCATCCAAGATAGTACCTTTTGATCATAGCTCAACCTCATGAGCTTGATGTGGTTTTCTTGTCCTTGTGAAGCTTAATTATTTGGTGTAAACTCAGCTAAATAAGGTTCTTTTGTTTTGAAACTTCAGTGTAATTACCCAATAGCTACCTCTGCAATACATGTACTACTACAGTATAAGCTTGTATTAGTATTTTTTTTTACGGGGATTAACTCTCTTAGGCACAGGTCAATGACCCACATCAGGGCCCGTTGGCGAAGATATAATAATAATAATAAGTATAATAAAAATCAATAAAAGATTATAAAAAATATTAAATACAAATTTAATTATTATAATAATAAAGGCCCATAAATAAATACAAAAATAAAATAAAAAGATCAATACTGTGAGAAGTGACATATGTACAGCATGTTGTGTTGTCAAAGTAAGAGAAAACAATTGAAACCCTGCAATTGTGTGCAAATAAGGCAGTAAGTCAGATCAGCAACCTGGGACTAGGTCACAATTTTTATGATGCCATATGGCAGCAGGGTCTACCATTAGACAACACATTGTGCTTCCAGTATCTTCCCAGGCGATAGTACCTCCCTGTTTAATAGCTGCCTACTACTTGGTAGATTTGTCTCTTTAAATTTAATCTGTGATGCAGCTTGGGAACTTGTGGTGTAATGTTGAATAAATTGCTGGAAGGTGAGAAATGTCTTTGGTACATAGGGACAAAACATTTGATCAATATTGGTGTTTGGTGGAGGAAAATACCATAACGTGATAGCCCAGATAAGTTTCATCAGTACTAAAATGTCTTTACTGTATTATAAATTTTGAACTATTACTTGTACTGTACTGCTTTCTTAATGTTTGAAAGTGTTGACTTGCATTAAATTACCAATTGTTGAAGGTGTGTTAATGTTATTGTCCACAGGGTGCCACTCCATGAGTTAATAATATGGTTGGGTGGCTACGATCTGTCACTTCCTGCTGAAGATGGACGGGTGGTTCATAGAGCATCACACATCATCATCCACAAGGACTTTAACCCATTTACTATGGCTAATGATGTGGCACTCATAAGAGTCACTGAGCCAGTCAACATGACTTATAGTGTACGACCTGTCTGCCTACCTGATGTCAGTAAGTGTTGAATTTATATTGATAACAAAATTAAATTGGAAGAGAGAGGAATTCCTCAGTGCTATAATTTGGTAGAAAAATATATTCTAATGTAAAAAACTAAAATAAAGCTGAGATTTAAAGCTTTATATTGCTTAATTAGTGATGGAGGTAATCTGTGTTCCATTTGTATGTACTATCGTCAGTGGTGGGCACGGTTCCGCTAATCCGCTAACCACTAATTAGCGAAGCTAACTTTCTCGTTAGCGGATTAGCGTTTTCACTAACTTTGGAAACCATTAGCAGGCCAATTAGCTTCTGCTAAATTTAGTTCCGCTAACAAAATTTATACATGTTTGTTCCTGTCTGTTGTAAGCGTGTGACGCCGCGACTCGTGTCTCCAACAGCCAGTCAGGCACGCTTGGCTGACTGCGTGTTAGTACGTGTAAACGTGACAAGACATGAGTGAATGGAATTTTTCGATTACAGTACTGTATTAAAGTTTAATACTTTTTTTACAGTAAATAAAGACTGTCAGTGTATGTTGAAAGAATCATAGAATGTAATTGTAAACTAATGTATAATTTCATTTCTCATTTATTTGTTAATTTAATTAGGATTTTTTGTGTCAATATATTTGGTTATGCTAAGTACTGCAAAAGTTCATAACCAGGATGCCATCCAAGGTGTGCGCCAAACAAAATTTTCTAAAAACTTACTTTTCATTAAAGTTTAGAGTTTTCTGTTTATTTACATAACTAAGACCAACAATAAGTTATATAAAAATGCACTGGTATAATGTGTATGTGGTTGGTATTGCATATTTACATGAATAATGAATAAGGCCAATAGGTTGTATGAGAATGCAAATTAATTATTTGTGAAATTGTGTACAGTGTACACCTTGATAAGTTGATCATCATCTGATCTTGACATGATGCTATTTGCTACCTATGCTATACAGTACTAAGTTTTTGGATTCGTTTAATACTTTCTGGTTTTTCGTATGGTAAATAAAGATTATAAAGTGTATGTTGAAACTTGAATGTATACTAATGTTTAATTTCATTTGTTCATTTAATTATTTGTGTACACCTTGATCATCATCTGATCTTGGCATGCTATACCTTTTTGGAAAGCTCTCTAGGTCTGTTCTTAAGGGTTTTAGAGCCCTCTCAAAAAACGAAGCTAAATTCATATAATAAAAGTTAGCGGTTAGCTTCCGCTAATTTTTTTAGCGGTTTAGCGTTAGCGAAGTTAACTTTTTAGATAGCAGATTAGCGGTTAGCAAAGCTAACTTTTCGTTTAGCTGTGCCCACCACTGACTATCGTGCAAAAAAGTCCCTTCCACCAACCAGCCACAGTGTGAGACTGAATCACCTGAAGTTGAATCAGTGAAGCAGCTGAAGGAAGTGCTTTGAAGTGGGCCTTCAGGGCACTTCCTTCAGCCGCTTCACTGATTCAACCTCAGATGATTCAGAATCACTGTAGCTAGTTGGTGGAAGTGACTTGTGTCTATGATAGTACTTTCAGCCATACCTCAATATTTATGATGTGTGTAAGGCTTTTTTATTCCTGCAATGTCAAACATGATTTTGAGTACACTTTAGGTTAAGAGCAGGAACATTTATTTTAAGAAAATAGTTACCACATTTTTAAACTGTCTTTGAAATTACTCAGCTAAAATTATTTAGTCAGTTCAAAGAAGACCATTAAATATGTTTTCATTGTTTCATTTATCAGATATACGTACAGTACATTAAATAATTTTGATGTTTTTCATTAAATACGCATACACCTGTAAAGCTTTGACATCAAACCAATACAATTGATCAGCTAATAAAAGCTGCAGTCCAGGAAGCAGTTCAGACTCATGTGAGTTTAACTTGCTAAAAAGTGTTCGGAAATGATTGAATTAGTGTCTGAGTGGGAAAAATAGTACTGTACTGTATTGTATATTATTTATGATTAGTGGAACACAGAAGGATAAGAGGAAGTCTGCATAGGAGATGGTGTGCATGAGTAATTGACTTGTTGAACACCGAGGAGAACCGTATGTCAGTCGAATATGCGAGGGTAAGAACTAAGAGACAGTGTGTGGAAATGGAAATGATAATCTCTTTGGCAAGTCAATTTGGGGCTTAGTGTTGTAATAGAGCTAATTATTCATGTCTTATTAAGCATGATCTTATCCTGACTCAATTTATCATTTCTAGTAAACCATTATTATGACCTTCCAGTTCCTTTGACCAATTAATCATGAGGACCCTGAAATAACAGCCTTGGGTAACAGTGAAATATGTAGACTCTACGGTTACATGCCATAGACCAACCATCACCTGGAAGCTGGCGTAACTTTGAAAACTACCCTTACAGTGCTATGAAGTTGCATGGAAATTCACTACCAACAATAAACAAAGTATATTAAAGAAAAAGGAATACACTGACAGCTCAAATTACAAGTTGACACTCGGCCGTAGCCACCCCGCTCAATACAGCACAACACGACTAATTTCTCTCGTATATCTATCCTCTCAATGATTATATGGCTCTCTCATAACCCCCACACACAACTCCACCACAATACTACACAAATGAATCCTGACACTACAATCTTACAGTTGTGCAAACCAGATTATCTCCTAGGACGCCATTTACAATGTTTACAAAGCGTCACCATGAGGGACACCACCAGCTACCTTTTTTTTAATACTTTACTTTCGTTTAAATTTGTTAACACACTTGGGTTTAAGGAGGTGCTCTCCAGCGAGACGCTCTCGGTCTGGCCGGTCACGTAACATCGCACTTGACTGCACCACATGAGGGATAATTGTATGTATTGAGTCATAGCAAGCTTTCTATTTGAGATAAAATGGTCAGGTTTGTTGCATTAGCATTGTAAATAAATTATCTAGAAATACTTTTATAGGGATAATCGCAATAAAATGATAAAATCTATAAATAAGCACGAGTATAACACAAATTGTAGTGTATGGCTGTCACTCAAGCTCCCAAATGCAAATGTTCCTTGCTCAAAGATTCTATATTTTCGAAATTCATATGAAATAATAATGTAAATTATTGGTTAAATGTAATGCATAAAAATATAATCTTTTTTTTTTTAATAAAAATTAATGAATTTCTTTACTTACAAATTGTTAGATGTTGAAGCACTTGGTGATGTTCCTCCCCCTCCGTGCCCCACAGTGCCGTACTTAGCCTGAACAAGGCCACTAAATCTAGTTTTAGTGGGAGTATGGGTAGTGCACACTTGTGAGGGAGATGAGCAGTCACGAGGTAAGCCACGCTGCGATGGCTGAGGTGCCACACGTGCAACACTTTTTATTTATTTTTTTTTCCTTCTAGCCACAACATAATGCCGGGCAGTTCCTTTCATACCAGGACTGCTTGTTGAAGGGCCAGACAAACTATCACTTGCACTCGAAGGGCCAGGGACACTGGGAGAGGCCTCAGGAGGTACCACTCTATCACCATGTGGTACAATCTCCTTGTATTTTTTGTTTTCCCGCCCCTCCACCTTTGCCAGCAACACAGGGCTTGGTTTAAAATTATCACAACACTTATCAATAACTGAAATCACTCTGATGAATGAGAAATCAGCACAAGCCACAAGAAAATGGTGGGAAATGTGGGTCAAAGTTACATCCTGTGCTGTTGAACCACAAAGGGCAACTTGTGTGGTCCCTTACCTAACCTTGGAAGCAGTTTACATAGGCGTCAGATCACACCGACGTTGCCAAATGTGCATCTTGCGTATCTAGCATTCATACACAAATTTGTGTATGAAAACCCTATTGTGATAATGTAGATCACACGTAAATTTGCATATGAATACCCCAAGAGTGTTAAAAGATATTGATTAAATTCATGTGCTATGATCTAATAAAATATTTAAAACATTAAAACAATCTAAATAATCATCCTAACTTATAAATGCAAACAAATAATTTATACGAAAGCATCTGATGAACGGACCGAGTATTATAAGAGATAACTAATCAATTCTCTTGGGAGGCACAGATCGTAACACCATATTCATCATTCGTCTTTTTCATATACAGTACTGTATGAGGCTGCTTGTGTTGAGTTAAATAGGTATACACCCACCTCTCGTCTTATGCGGGGGTTACATTCTTGAAAATTACCGCTTAATTAAAAAACGCGTAAATTAAACATAATTTTCCCATAAGAATACATGTACGTACATGGTACAGGTTAGGGGAACCATCATATACCGTACAGGGTACGAACAGTGCTCTCACTTAAACTAATCATGCAGCCAACCTCCGACACACATACAGTACTCACTTAAACCAAGCACACGGCCAACCTCATACACACGCTCTCCTCTCTGAAGGCGGGTGATCACATTTAATTTCACATCCCTTGCAATTGCTTTTCGTGCCTTTTTATCTTTAGGCGCCTCAGAGGAGGCAGATGGACATTTTCCAGACATGGTCAATGGGGAAAATAGCGTTTAACACTAAAAAGGTACGTGATAAACACAATGCAAATGAGAGCACAGAGAAAAAGAAGTGCTGGTGTGAACTGAGAAAGCGATGCGCAGGAAGCTTGCTGGACGTCGTCACAGTTGTTGTACAGAATACTTCATTATCATTATTACCTTCAGCATTAGTAGTGATAATCTTTATTAATAATAATAATAATTATTATTATTATTATTAATAATACAGTAGTATTAAAATTGTTGATGTTGATATGACTGCGACTTTATAGTGAGAACTTACAAGCACGTTACCAGGCATCACACCCGACTCCACTGCCAGGCGATTAGGAGAATACACGGCAAAAATAAACTGTCTTGAGCGTGTTATTTCAAAAATAGGTGCGAGAAAATTAGCTTTTGATGTTACTGTAATTGAACAATCGCGTTATTCCAAAAACGCTTAAATCAAACACTCGTAAAACGCGGGTTGCCTTTACTGTATGTAATTGTGAGTTAATGTAAATGATGTGCTATTACAGGTGAATGGGATGTTTCATTTGTTGCTGGAGAAGCTGGCCTGGATGGCACTGTAACTGGCTGGGGACTGACTGAAGAGCAGGGCGAGCAATCAAAAGTTCTTCTCAAGGTAATACTTTATTATACTGTACTTCACTTCAGGCAGTTAGTCCATTCTTTTGTTACTGTATTATGAACTTTATTGTCTAATGTTAGTACAGGAGGAAACTGGAGTACCTGGAGGTAACCTGTCATGTTTGGCTAGGGTCACACTGAATAATAGCCTTCCCATGTGTGTCTTGGACCAGGACTCGAACACATGACATAGTGGTAGAAGATGCGCACATCATCATTGTGCCACCAATTAAACAGCCCATTATTAATATTAGTATTATAAGGACGGGAAATTTTTGGATCCACCGCTTGTTTATCATTTTATAAGGATGAAGATGTTAGATCTCACTGCTGCTTTACCATTTTATAAGTTTTTTTCTTCTGGTTTCTAAGTTTCATTTTCTAATTCACCTTCTCAAAGTATCTATTTCCTTCAGTTTCTTTATTTATTCTTCTGTTATCTGTAGTCTTTATATATGTTACTACTTAGTTATTTTACCTGTAACCTCTTAACATGGGGTAGCACGGCGAGGTCTAGGGCACATGGATTCAGTTGTATTTAATGGTACCAAGCTAGGGAAAGAAACAAAGGTAATACTGCAGGGATAATAATAACCCAACATTACATCACAGATGATTTATTAAAGATGATATAGGGCACCTGAACACTTTAACAGAACATAAACACATGAACCACTCCTTGGGGTTCACTCCAGACTTGACCAAATTTACAGATTACAAAGACCATTTGGCCTTCACTTAGCCTTACTTGAACGTCACCCAAACAAGTATTCAACTTTAACAGGACCAATGTTCAGTTGAAATTACTATTGGCTACTGTTAACATTCTATGACAGTGACACGCAACTAAGATTGGTGGTCAGTCCTTCAATTACATTACTACTTACACTAACACTTCATAGCACTTCTCAAACACCCATCACAAGATTGTTATCCGTGTACAGTAATTATTATTACTGGGGGTACAGGTTAGTCTGGCTCACACAATTACCACAACTACAGGAGTCATTGTGTTACAACCTTACTTCTTGTCTCTTACCAACATTATACCTGTTAACACTCCTTACATCACGGGATACATTGATATTCATTTACTAGGTGGGAATAAGATACCTGAGATGGATCAATTACGGATACATACAGGATGTTGCCACAGTGTTATGCCACTTGTATTAAAAATGGCGGGCATTTACACTGTGCCACTGCGGCCAGGTTCCACTTCATCCTGGGTTTGACCCATGTCTCGCAGACACTGCCGCATCTGTGGGCCTACTACTCACATCTGGCACGTCATCTACTCAGAACTTAATCCTGGTGGATTAAAGGCATCCTGCATTAGACAGCCTATCTGCCACTGGCCACAGCCTCTCGGCAGCTCCAACAACACATGCAGGGCCTGGATGACAAGGGAAAGGCATTCAGAATATGATAACAAAATACAAATGTCACAAAATACTCTTTGTGCGAGGAAACAGATGGCACATGAACATAACTACATTAACACAAAACTTCAACTATGTTAACAGGAACTCTATCATATTCAACACAATTCATCTAAGTTAAATTCACTTAATATAATGGTGAGACCCAGAGTAACGTACCTGGTTGACGAGGGAAAGTCATTCAGAATGAACTATTCAAACTGTGCTCTCTGTTATATACACCTGGTGTTACCACCATCAATTCTTTTACGGTACACCTCGGGCTGTGAAAATTAGACTTATATTAATTTCCAAAGGTTAACTTTTATAATCTAATCAGTGTTTGGGCTTGCAATGCAACAATTATATTATCAACAAGTACTGTACATAGAATGGCAATCACACTTTGGGTGGAGTCAACAATCCACAACAACCGGCCTACTCACGGGTAAGGTGTTACCTTTCAGAGTTTTTTGCCTGTTGACAGGTTATGCCCTCAAGATTAATGAGCTTTATTACAAAAAATTACAATAATTTTGATACAGTCATCAGATACTCTGAGGTCCATAACTAAATGAGATATAACTTCAGTTGTTAACTGATGTCTCGTTCTGTCACGGGCACAAGACCAGTGGTCACAGCTGTTTGCTTGGCAGTCAAAACACCTCGTCTTAATACAATTTTCACTACACGTAAAGGTAGATGAAGCTTTCAGCATACACTCAACACTTCTTGAATGCTTCATCTCATGGTAGGTATATCGGACTTATGGCTACTCATACGAGTTACATCGTAAATTTAAATTTACATTACAGATAGCACTTCAGGAAATAGTATAGAAAATGGGTGGTACCTCTCACTAGAGAAAACAAGTCTCTCTCAGTGGGGCAACTCATTAGTTAAACACATGTTTTGTGGACATGGGAGCATAATATGAGTAAGTGTAGGTTAATATACTAGCCGCATGCAGTTGTGACCATAACATTATGTCACAGATTTTCATTCCACTTTAGAAAAGTCTGGCCACAGTGTATAAGGTGACTCTGGTTATTGATAAGCGATCTGGCAGTAGTTCCTTAGGTATTACATGTATCAGGGTATCAGTAATCAGAGCAGCCTCTACATGAAAGTATATGAATATATAGCACAGTATTTCACTTTACAGATGGCAGTGAGTGTAACACACACACACATTCTTTCTCTCATATATATATATATATATATATATATATATATATATATATATATATATATATATATATATATATATATATATATATATATATATATATATATATATATATATATATATATATATATCTTTAGCTTTCGCCTTGAATGTCTTGAATAAAGACGAAAGCTAAGGTAATCGCTTTCCATTTTCCGTGATTTTATCAAGATTTATCTTATCCACGTTTTCATTGTGGATTTACATGATATATATATATATATATATATATATATATATATATATATATATATATATATATATATATATATATATATATATATATACAGTATTACCCCGCCTAACGCGGTTTCACTTAACGCGTTTTATCATATACGCGGTGCCTTGCCAGAGCTGAACTTTCACTTAACACGGATTTTTTCCACATATACGCGGTGAGTGTCCGGCTCGAGACGCTATTTTTAGATTTGCCCCACCCTGCCTGACTGCCTGTTTTAGCTCATAAAATTCATACAAATTACCCGGCCAGAATATAATTTACATTGCTGGAATTCTTATAATTTGGTGATCATTTTGAATATAAACATCATATTTTTGCATTAGACATACAAATTTTAGATAAAAAATTTTCTCAAATTAACTATGTTATCTTTTGTGCAAAATATATGACATTTATATTCAAAATATTCCTGGTCTTACAAGGAATCCAGCAATGTCAATTATATTATCCTAACTTTAGTTTGAGGTATTATTTATTAAAATTTAGTGGTTATCCCACACATCTCCTTGGGACGGTTGGTGGGGGGTGGGGGGGAGGGAGGGACCGACCGACCATCTGTTACCCTGTGAAGAATTATTTTTTTTTTATTAACTGAAGATATTTGTTTTAGCTCATAAAATTCATACAAATTATCCGGTCTGAATATAATTTACATTGCTGGAATTCTTATAATTTGATGATCATTTTGAATATAAACATCATATTTTTGCATTAGACATACAAATTTTAGATAAAAATTTTTCTCAAATTAACTATGTTATCTTTTGTGCAAAATATATGACATTTATATTCAAAATATTCCTGGTCTTACAAGGAATCCAGCAATGTCAATTATATTATCCTAACTTTAGTTTGAGGTATTATTTATTAAAATTTAGTGGTTATCCCACACATCTCCTTGGGACGGTTGGTGGGGGGTGGGGGGGAGGGAGGGACCGACCGACCATCTGTTACCCTGTGAAGAATTATTTTTTTTTTTATTAACTGAAGATATTTGTTTTAGCTCATAAAATTCATACAAATTACCCGGTCTGAATATAATTTACATTGCTGGAATTCTTATAATTTGATGATCATTTTGAATATAAACATCATATTTTTGCATTAGACATACAAATTTTAGATAAAAATTTTTCTCAAATTAACTATGTTATCTTTTGTGCAAAATATATGACATTTATATTCAAAATATTCCTGGTCTTACAAGGAATCCAGCAATGTCAATTATATTATCCTAACTTTAATCTGAGGTATTATTTAATACTAAATGTTAAAAACCCTGGAAGGGAGGATTGGTGGGGGGTGGGGGGGAGGGTTGGGACTGACCGCGCGGTTGGAAGAGGGGGGGAGGCAAGGTTGAGTCCATTATTTGAATGGACATTAACTTGGCGACTGTATTTCTCTATTTCTCTTAAGTATTAATTGTGTGCATGTACCATCATAAAATTAAGATGTTATTTTTACTACAACATAGGTATGTGCCTTCAAAAAGTGGAGTTTGGGGGTCGGGCCGGTTTCTATTGGAATTAATCCCATATGTTCTGTTGTTCACTTAACGCGGATTTCACTTAACACGGGACCCTCTGGGTTCTATTGACCGCGTTAAGTGGGGTACAACTGTATATATATATATATATATATATATATATATATATATATATATATATATATATATATATATATATATATATATATATATATATATATATATATATATATATATATATATATATATATATATATATATAGTGGGGTATGCTATAACGAATCTAATTGGTTCTAGAACCTTGTTCGTTATAGCATTCGTTCGTTATAGGATTAATCCGTTCCAGGCCCCCAAATACAACCACTTAACACTGAAAAATATAATATAAAATTGTAAAAATTGTAAAAAAGTGCATAAATATGCATCTAAACCCCTGAAATAAAGAATATCATTAATATTTGTAATAAAAAAACAATAAATTAGAAAAAAAAAATTAAATAATGTTCGTTGTAGGAGTTTCGTTCGTTATAGCATTCTCAATTTTATAGGTAAAACCGTTCGTTATAGGAATATTCGTAGTAGAATCCGTTCGTTATAGCATACCCCACTGTATATATATATATATATATATATATATATATATATATATATATATATATATATATATATATATATATATATATATATATATATATATATATATATATATATATATATATATATATATATATATATATATATATACACACACGATGTCATGTACAGTATTGGATACTAATGTTACAGTACTGTACTCTGTAAACTAATAACAAACAAAAGTCCTGTCACCTCTCCTGCTGCTCAGTCAACCCTGAGATTCAGACCCGTGAACCCGAAACAATGGACACTGATGCATTATTCTATCTCGTGGTTTGAGGAGCTGCAGGAGACGCGACAGGTCTTTTGTTCATGACTGTACATTAAAATTGATTTAGCAAAGGGAATAAAATATTGTACTGTACTGTGTTTATCAAACAGCCAGCACCATCCTCCGTCCTTCATCAGCTGAGTGTAGATTAGTCTTTGTGGCACCTGCTGTCTTCATGAGCCTTAGAATGGGGAAGGCATAAAAAACAGTTGTCCCCTGCTGGACCTTGGCCACTTATATACCATGGAACTGCTGCATCACCTCCATACTAGCTTGAGGGAAGTGTTGGTTTATTTTTTCCTTAAATGTTGAGAAAATTAAAAATGAAAAGAAAAATGATATCTGGAATTGTGCAGCCTGGAGAGCTACCTTCAGGTAATCATGACCAACCCACATAAGAGCTGAAAATAACTATAAATAGTAGATGATTAAGTTCCAAGAAGGAGAAGGCTCTTAAAGAAATTAGTACTGTATTTAGTTGTTTATTGACAACAATCTTGTGGCAGCCTATTAAAAAAATAAAAGGTTCTTCCACATAAAATCCTGTATCAAAATTTTCAAGGAAATGTCATACCTTGCAGCTTTTGAAAGATGATACTTTGTAATTGAATAAGGTGTTGCCATCCAAGTAAACAAAGGTCTTTCTCTTAAGAATGTGGTTGATTCTGTGGTAGATGTGTTTGCAATGTCAGTTAATTGCACACTTCCGGTCTCAAGAAAGTTCAGATATTAGAACTCTTGGGAGCAGATGTGTTGGTTCCTTCCATCTCTCAATTGCTTCAAGTAGTCAGGAATATTACTAAATGTACTGTAATGGGATTTCTGTATTGGTATGTGCTTTATGGCTACTGAGGATTTAGTGTACTCTCTATAGTACCTCAGCTTTGACCAGTGCAGTCCATGGTAATACAGTACAGGGAGTATAGGGCCATAGTTTCATATTACTTTATTGTTACCGAACACTATATCTACTCATTATTGACAGGTGAACCTCCCCTTCCTTAGTGTTGATGACTGTAAGCAACGATATAAAGGCATCAATCCAGTCTCGTTGAAAATGCTGTGTACGCTCCACAACTCGGAGGACGGTATCAGTAGAGATTCTTGTAAGGTGAGTTTGTGGATGGTGAAGATGTTAAGAGGTAATGTGTTGAATAGGACTCCTACCCAACACATTACCTCTTAACATCTTCACCATCCTGGGTGGTAATGTAGTGGGTGTCTTGGGTAGAAGGTGGTGGTCTACTTCTTGAGATGTAAAGCTGAAGTATTAGGGAGAGAACAGGGTACAAAAAGCAACAGAAATATATGGTGGTTTGGATGATCTTCTGTCAATGCCAATCCCCATAGAAAGCTTTGCAATGGAGTGAGTCATTGGAGATGAGAGAAGGTTCATGTGAGAAAGAGGGATGAGCAAGAAGCTATAGGAGGGAAACAGCCCAAAACATACACCAAAGAATTTCTCCAAACACCACTCTTTTCTGATTTCAACACTAATTCCATTATTTCATCAAATTTTTAACAAATTATAGCTTGCAATAAGTTTGAACAACTGCTTCATGGACGGCAGTTTTTGGACTTGACTAATGGAGCAATAAAACTTGGAATCTCATGAATCTTATATGATATGTATAGATGCTGCTGGACAGTGCATGCATTGGTTTTCATTTGCTGATTGATTAATTATCTTTGTTTGATATTAAACCTTTGAAAACTTATTTAATGAAACATGTTTTGAATATTTAATGCTTCTCTTAAGAAATTAAACATCTAAAACAAATACAGTGGGGTATGCTATAACGAATCTAATTGGTTCTAGAACCTTGTTCGTTATAGCATTCGTTCGATATAGGATTAATCCGTTCCAGGCCCCCAAATACAACCACTTAACACTGAAAAATATAATATAAAATTGTAAAAAAGTGCATAAATATGCATCTAAACCCCTGAAATAACCAATATCATTAATACTTGTAATAAAAAACAATAAATTAGTAAAAAAAAATAAATAAATAAAAAAAATTTAAATAATGTTCGTTGTAGGAGTTTCGTTCGTTATAGCATTCTCAATTTTATTGGTAAAACCGTTCATTATAGGAACATTTGTTATAGCATACCCCACTGTATAATGATCTTAGACTAAAGGCCCAACTGGCCAGTGGAGAAGAGGATAAACGTTGAAAGTTATAGAGAGGGATAGTGAATAACCACACTGTATGGCGATTGAAGTAGAACTGCGTAATGAATGGCATAGCTATGACAACTGTCATGCAGTTGTCATCGGTTGATTCATAACTGTACTGTATGGTACAGGTATAATAGGGTATGGCTGTATGGGATTGCAGCAAAATTTTGAAAATACTTCCCAGAACATTCCCCCCAAAATTAATTTTATTCTGAGTTGCCTCTAACATTGACATAATGTGAAATATGAGCACAGACACTTAAAACAGTTAACAGGTATATTGTACACATTGCAATTGAACTTTTGTCGTGTACAGAAAAGACAAAGGAAGTGTTGGTTTAGATGTGAAAATTGGTGTGTTAAGGCATTTTGAAAGGGGAAACAAGCTGTGGATATCAGTCGAACTTGTGCTCAATGCTTTTTATCATTTTTTTTATTTCTTATGTTTTATCCCATCCCTGCATATCGGATCTGAGGCTTGGGTAGTTACGCAGATTCTGATAAGGCGGAGGCATTGAACAAATTTTTTTCCTTGTGTTTACAAGTGTTTTAGTTTTTTTAGTTTAACAAATTTATTGACAAAGCTTGGAGTACAGTTTGCCTATTCTGAGTAATTCAGTCAGGTCTTGACACTGAGGGTGGTATCACTTCACACTGCCATGCAGGACAGAGGTTCATACACAATGAAATACATCATATTCATTGACAGTACCGTATATATAGGTCAGATTCACGTGGGTGATGTCACTGTTCATTGCCATGCAGGACAGAGGTTCATACACAAAGAAATACATCATATTCATTGACAGTGTATGTAGGTCAGATTCTTGTGGGTAATGTCACTGTTCATTGCCATGCAGGACAGAGGTTCGTACACAAAGAAATGCATCTTATTCATTAGCAGTACTGTATATATAGGTCAGAGTCATGTTTGTGATGTCACTGTTCGCTGCCATGCAAGACAGTGGTTCATATACATTGGATGTCATATTCTAATTGAAGACTAATCAGTGTGGGCTAGCAAATTTGGGATAAACAGCAAGAATGTCCCCAAGCACCCCCGATTCAATATAGTGATTACAAAGTTCATGATACAATAAGCCAGGTGGCCTGAAGTCTTTGACAGTGTCACATTCAATAATAGAGTGTTCAAGTGTATGCTTTAAAGGTTTATCACAAAGTTTACATGCTGAGTGTTCCGGTATGGGTACAGCGTTACTAACTTGCCAGATGTGTCTGTATCCTAGCCTAATTCTGGTCACGACTACATCACATTGTCTGGTTCTGTCCTTATGCTGGCCATACCGGTATCTCTCGTCACAAAATTTGTCATATTTACTAATGCTACAACTGCCAGGTCTCTCTGCATTTCTCAGTTCTTCTAGATCAGAGTTCATGATTCTCACAAGTGAGAATGCGAACAATCTTTGTGTTTGAGGAAAGATGGTTTGACACAGCGCTGACCCACATTGTGTTCACAGAAGAGGGTATAAGAAATAAATTGTCAAAGCTAAAGGTTCATAAGAGTCCCAGTCCTGATGGTGCATCCTAAAGTGCTAAGAGAGTTGTGTAACGAGCTTGCTGATCCCCTTAAGATCCTGTTTTGTAAAGGCACGGATAAGCAAAAGGTCCCCAGTGACTGGAAAATGGCTTATGTGAGTCCTGTATTCAAGAAGGGTGATAATAGACCAGTGAGCTTGACCAGCATAGTACATAAAGTAGTAGAGAGCATTCTAAGAAATGCCATGATGGAACATATACTACAAAACAACTTTGTAAAGGATTACCAACACAGTTTTATGCTGGGATGATCCTGCTTGACACAATTACTCAAAATACTGGATGTTTGGAATCAATTCTGGAACAGGGTGTTAATATCGACAGTGTATACAGTATTTTTGCGATTTAACGAACTAATTCGAGCCACCCGTTTGCTAAATAGAAATTTCCGCTAAATCTAGGTCTCGGTCAACTAAGTATACACTGGAACATCTTAGCTTTTGTCTTTATTCAAGACATCTTCAGAGGCAACTGAATTACAGGGATGGAATGTCAGGTCACCCTTTCTTGGGTGGGGGATTAGTGAGTCTCATGACCTGAATATGTCTTGAATAAATACAAAAGCTTAAATATTTTTAAGGAGATTGTGATAAGTAGAAATGAGCAAAGTTGTACCCCTTCAACATAATGTTTCATAAAATTTTAAAATATGGAGTGAGAAAGCAGAAAGGTGTGGGTGATTACAAAGATACGTGTTGTATTTATCCCCGTGTGTGCGTTCAGGAACACCCCTCAACACCACCAACACACACCCTCCAACACCACCAACACACACCCTCCAACACCACCAACATGCACCCTCCAACACCACCAACACGCACCCTCCAACATTTATTATTGCATATTCTCGGATGATCAGCCTCTTATAGTGTATTTTTATCATTGATAATATAAAATATTAAATACTACTATAGAAAAAAATACCTGTACAATATATACTCAGTACTGTAATTTGCATAAAATTAAGTGACAAGCCGAATAATAAGGTAAAAATAAGTATTGTACTGTTTATGGAGGGTACCGGTATTAATAAGCTCAAATTATTACAGTAACATCTTTACTAATTAGTAAATAACAAATAAACAATATTTTGTAAAGTTACAGTAAGAATGACAGAGGCAGGGGTGGGGGGTGAGTGGTCAGTTTCTCGCACTAAGGGTTTCCTTCCCATCCCTGTGAAAAAGTCATAATTTTGAGCAACATATTACTGTACTCACTTTGTACTCAAATGTATTAAGCTAAAGGACTAAACTTTTTATTTCTTCTGCTAACTATGAGATGTGCATACTCAAATTAATCGCTATCTTGAAAGGATTCCACCAATGCATGTTTTATTCTGCTAATTCAAGTCTGTGACTTTTTATAAGAGAAAAACTTTAAGCCTAAAATCACCTTCATTCCATTAATCATGTCACCTCACTCTTCCCACCCACATGCCAACTATGTGAGGATGTAGCTAAACATGGTGCAGTCTTTCATACTGCAGGGAACCTTTGTCCCCAAGCCTGGAGCAGAAAGGTTTGGAGTGATTTTCTCGCCATTTTCTGGTAATTGCTTTGTATTATTCATGGTTTGTATACATTTGGTACATTTGCCGTAGGCTGAAGTAGGCTTTACTGTATCATGTGTCTGAGGTGTCTCCGTAGTGTGAGCGTATTAACGGAATTAATCTAGATTTAGCGAACTAGTTCACCAAATGTGAAAAGGACCTGGGTGTGCATGTCGACAATGAACTTAAGTTTTTGGGCCATTGTGAGAAGAAGGTGAATCAGGCAATGAAACCATAGTGCGTTTTTCCTCAGCTGAGAATAGATGCCCCTCCCCCTCCTCAAGAGTTACAGCTGATTGGCTGTTGCAAACCTGTCCGATTTTGTCCTGAAGTAATGATGTATTTCTAAATGAGTTTATTCATAATCGTTGGAATGACCATTCCTGACGAGAAAGGTAATTAGCTAAATTATATAAAGATACATACTGTACATTCATTTTTTCAAACATAAGCACGTAGGAAGTTTATAATAAGTATTATACATGAATTAACTGTTAAACTCTGGTAGCAACTTCACACTTTCGGAGGATGCATTTAATAATATACAGTCAACCCTCACTTTACGCGGTCCCACATTCCGCGTTTACGCGGTGCCCTGCCAGAACCCAGGATGCTCACATTCCGCGGTGGGTGTACCCCTTTACACGGGTGAAGTATAATTTTTTTATTTAGCTCATAAAATTCATACAAATTATCCGGCCAGAATATAATTTACATTGCTGGAATTCTTACAATTTGATGATCATTTTAAATATAAACATCATAGATTTTGCATTAGACATACAAATTTTAGATATAATGTTTACTCTGAGTAAATATGTTATCTTTTGTGCAAAATATATGACATTTATATTCAAAATATTCCTGGTCTTACAAGGAATCCAGCAATGTCAATTATATTATCTTAACTTTAGTTTGAGGTATTATTTATTACTATACCTTAAAATCTAGTGGTTTTCCTCCCAAAATTTCTCAGAGAGGGAAGAGCCAGCAAGTGTAGTGTGAGAAGAGGGGGAGGGAGTTGAGTCCATTATTTGAATGGACATTAACTTTGCGACTGTATTTCTCTATTTCTCTTAAGTATTAATTGTGTGCATGTACCATCATAAAATTAAGATGTTATTCTTGCTAGAACATAGGTATTGTGTCGGAAAAAGTGGAGTTTGGGGGTCAGCCGGTCTCTATTTCATTTAATCCCATATGTTAGGTTATTCACTTTACGCGTTTCTCACTTTTCGCGGTACCCTGTGGGTTGAATTAACCGCGTAAAGTGAGGGTTGACTACTGTACTGGTATTAACCTTCAATGCTTAAGCATTGAA